GCATTCGCTAAGTTCTGTGCGTCCATTTAATATTAGATAAAAATATCTCTTACGAGTACATATACTGGACATTTGCAGGCATTGGTTCATCTTCATATTCTCTATATCTTTCTGCCACGTCAAATAAATATATGACACAATGGAAAAAACCTAAAACAAGTAGTCCTATTTCAAACCACATTTACTTACCAATAAAATTTCTTTATTGTGACACTTTCTCCAGTTTATAGGACCTCTCTCATATTCTATCTTATCGTATCTAAACTCATAGTCATGTATGTCCTCTAACCATCTCATAACGGTTTCCAAACCACTTTTATCGGATGTAAAGTAAAAGCATGGATGGTTATGTAAAACGTCTAAAGTTTCTAAAGAGTCTCTCAAAGTCCAGTCTACTTGGTATTGAAAATCCCATGTGTTATAGAACGGTGGGTCCACCATAAAGAAAACATTTTCCTTGTCTTTATATTTTTCATACAACTCTGTCCAATGACATCTCACAAACTCTATACCCTCAATATATTTTTCTATGTCCTCTTTGAAAACATTTGTATAGTTGAGATATAAAACTTTGACATAAGTGTTTCAATGTCATAACTCTTATAGCACCACTATATAATAGTCTAGCAGATATACTATCCCAGTCTATATATTCTGCTTTTTTCAAAACCTCTCTCACAATATTTTTCTTATCTAATGGTATACGTTCCATCTTACCTATAGGTATCTTTTCTTTTAACTCTTTCAATATTTTGTTAGTGTCTGGAATATGTTTGAGACGGTTCATATAGTTGTCGAAGTCATTGCATATAATCTTTGAGTCAGGAAATACAGTATGGCACAAATGGGATATATAGAAACTTCCACCGAACAAATCTACAAATGTTAGACCATTCGGTAGTTTCTTAAGTTCTCTCAATATAATATCTTTACATTTACTCTTATTTCCAAAGAACGGTAACGGAGGTTTTGTAAAATTCATTTATATATAATAATAAAAATGTTTTTTCCTGAAAAGTGACAGAAAAGTGACAAAACATGTACGAAGAAGTCTTGAAAATTCAAGAGGGTAGAAAAGAGGTTATATCTAACCCTCTACCCTAAACATTATTTTTGTCTGATTTTACGAAGAAGTCTTGACAAAACATGAAAACATATATAATTTGTGAAAAGCTCCTGGAAGACCCGTATATAAGAACTTCATTTATACTAAACATCTTCGGGGCTAGAGGGCACGAAGTGCCTGGAAGCCCCACTACCTTTTTTTTTTTTTTTTTTTTTTTTTTTAATTTAAGAATGCCATATTTTTGTTAAAAAAAATTTCGAAAAGTGAGAGATTTTCCGTTCTAATAAATATATTTGATAACCGGGGTGTCCCCCGGAATCAAATAAATTATCATATCGAGAATCGGAGATTCTTGCAGTTTCGATTTTTTCGAAAAGTGAGAGATTTTCCGTTCTAATAAATATATTTGATAACCGGGGTGTCCCCCGGAATCAAATAAATTATCATATCGAGAATCGGAGATCCTTGCAGTTTCGATTTTTTCGAAAAGTGAGAGATTTTCCGTTCTAATAAATATATTTGATAACCGGGGCGTCCCCCGGAATCAAATAAATTATCATATCGAGAATCAGAGATTCTTGCAGTTTCGATTTTTTCGAAAAGTGAGAGATTTTCCATTTTAATAAATATATTTGATAACCGGGGTGTCCCCCGGAATCAAATAAATTAGCATTACTAACATTCCTTTTTTATTTAAAATTTTCAATTCTTAAAACAAAGTTTTACTTCTATTTAATTATTTGCCATGAAAGTATAGAACATTAAAAATTTATCCTACTACCTCCACCCTTATAATACCTTCAAAAAAATTATATCTCAATTTATTTTCTATCTTTATATTGATGTGCTTATTCAAAAACACTAAATCATAAGTCTTCAGTTCTCAAAATACTCTCAAATTATCTCATTGCGCATATTTTGAAATTTGATAATTTTAAATTGTTAAAAAATTCATTAATCACAGTAAAATATCTATATACAACAATTAACTAACCGATTTCACATCTTGAACATTCGCATTTATTTAATATATTTGAATATCATTTACATCTTATTGAATTAGATCATAAATCACAGTTCCTTAATATACTATCTAGCTAATCATTATTGTTGCACAACTTACATTTGATTAAACACACGTGTATAATTCTGTACAACTCATATCTCTATCAATACTTTATTTATAATCAAAACAAAGGTTAAAATTGTATACCCTGTCACTGTAGAGTATTCTCCCAACTTTAAAGTGAAAATCAAAATTTGATATTTTAGTAATTTCATGTGAGATCGTTATTTTATAGGAAAACATACTGAAAATGTTTATAAGATGTTTCTCTATCATATGCCAAAATATCATGGTTTAAATGCTCTCCTAAGTGTCTATAACTGAATTTTAGGGCAATAACCTTATTCTAAATGTTGGGAAAGTAGGGTATTTTGAAAAAAATTATTCATGATCAATTCATGATTTAACCAGTTCCTTCAAATTAGGAGAGCATATTCAAATATAATCGCTCATTAAAATCAATTTTTATGTTTTTTTTTAAATCGAAATTATCTCATCATAAACCATGCAAACTGACTATTTGTTCTTATCACCATGTTACCAATATCAGAATTGTCTTTACAGCCAAAATTTCGCTCGATAAAAGTCCATCCAATAGTGAGATAATTGAGCAACGAACATTTTTCCATATCACAAAAAACCTCCCCGACGCAAAGAATCACTGCCACCCAAATTTTTGTCTGTTTGAATTAATTTGAATGATATAAATTTATCATTTGTATTTAGAGAATATTTTCGAATTTCTCCTGCGTTTAATGGCGATTTATTGACTTCATGAATTATTTTTGTTTCCCCATTAATGGTTGTCCCTTCAACTCTCCATGTTTGAAGTGGATATGAAGAGAATTTCCCCCCACCTGGGAATGTCCTTACAATATATTCCGTCGGTTGAATTGCAATGTTTTGTTTGGTCTCCCACTGAACCCATGAATTAGGAATATTCTGAGTCTTAAAACATACATCAGTTCTATATTTATTAATCACATCAATGGAGTATCCATTATCTACAGATGAGACAGACATTTTTACATTTCCGCTCTCGAAATAATTATTTGCTATGATTACATCATTAGACTTAGTATTTCTGCATCTTAGTAATGAATCAGAAAGTGAGTTAACAACACATTGATAGTTATTTGAATCTACTATATCTTTCATTGATTTGATAATTTGTTCATTGCAGAATTCAAAATGAATGTTTTCTATCAATGAATAGAATTTTTCGTTTTCTTTTGCTAAAGAAATAATAAAGTTAGCTAATGAATCTTCATCTTCAAGTAATAGTTCATCACTGCTAAATATTTGCTGCAAAATGTCAATTCCGAGTTTGTTCGAAATTAATTTGAGTTTATTTGAGTCAATCGCAGAAAAATTTGATGATATATATTTAATGCATTCAAGGATATTTTCTTGTGAAGAAATATCGAAATAAAATTCAAGCAAATCAACGCAATTTTTGTTATCAATTTTCATTTTGTCAATAACATGCATTTTATATAAATTAGTGAGTTCTTGCATTTCAAGAGTAATGCCGATATGGAAAAGGTCCTTCAAGATCATTTCATCACATTCAATATCCGTTTTATTGTATTGTAAGGTAGTCACAAAATCTAAGTAGTGAGGCTCTCAAAAATTGAACCGTACTCCATACAAAATTTGTGTACCCTCACTACTTAGATTTTGTGGCCTTCAATTGAGAGGTTAGTTTTGATAGAGCACGTTATAAAATTAAAAGGGAAAAATAAATAAAATTTAAACATTTAATTATATATAATGTAAGGAGTGTAATTCCAAATTTTCTAAAAACTATTCAAATTTGAGCATTTTTTTGGAAATAGTAAATCTAATATGGACATCTAATAACAACATGATTCATCACCTTTTCAAGCTCTGCAGTCAATTTTTTGAAATTTGATTGAAATAAATGAAGCAAAAATTACATTTCATTAGGGAATATATGAGTTTCTCTGGAAACAGGCTGATAAATTTTAAATTTTGTCCAATCAACATGAATGCATTGAGAAATTTGGATTGATTTTCTAGTAGAATCTGGAACAATTCAACCATGTATAAATGGATCATGTAATCATCATGAAATGTTAGTGTTAGAGTTCAAAAGAAACAGAATGAGTGGAAATCAAACACAATCTGAATAATTTTAAACGTATACAATCTTTAAGTTTGTATTTTGAATTCTACATATATGATTGTGTAATTCGTTCTTTCAAATTTTCGGATTCAGGCATGTTTTGATAAAATTCATTCCCAAAAACGTTAATTAACAATTAAATTTAGTGTATTTTAAATATATATACGTATTATATTTTATAAATCATATTAAATTCGCAAAATTTTAAGTTTTAAACAAAAATAAAAAATGTTCAAAATATGAAATTATGCATAGGATATTAAAATTTACATGTTAGCAATTTTTTTGAATTGCTTTCAATTTTCATATTGAAATTTTTAAGATTTTTTTCTGAAATAATAAGCAAGAATATCAACCTAAATAATATTAAATTCCATGCGTTAATTTCCCCTCAAAAGTCATTGACCGCCTCTCAATCTAGATTTTGTGAGTACTTTAGAATGTCTTTTAATACATTATACGTTTCTTGTGATTTTACATCTGTATGAATATCAATTTTAGCAATATTATTGTCTAATAGATATTGCGAGTAAAAAGTTTGAGAAATTGCAACAGCAAATGACTTAGTAAGTGCGATTTCAACGTTGTTGATTGATAATATAACTTTATCAAGCACGTTATAGTTATTAATCCTCTGTAAGATTTGGTTATTGAGCTTAATCAAGACCATATCTTTTTACACCCGTAAATGAAAATTCGGAAGTCAAAAAAATTTAAATTTAAATTGGAACACACTTAGGCTTGACAGTCTTTCCGACACCGAAGTTGATGGAAGCGTTTTCAGGAACTTCCTCTTTGATGTTTGGCAAAACTTCAAGTTTGAAGTTATTATAAGTTATTGCCTCAATTTTGTTTGACAATGTTTCAACAGCATCATAGACTTCCATGTTCTGGGTGCTATCGAAATTGGGCTTCGATAACAAGTTCCTTATTGCCAACAATGCGAAGTAAATTGTGACATTCGAGTTATGTCTTGATCTCAAAATATCAATGCTAATTGATCCATCGATAGTAATATTCGGATGTCTTGGAACTGTCAAGAATCTTATCTCAGGACTTGTTGATGTGATCAAATTCTTTAGCGAAAACTTCTTTATCTTCATAAAAAATATGAATTCAAGTTTAGCATTAAATTTGATCAAGATAAAACAAAATTGGTAATATTTTTTTTTAGATTTTTAAAAATCAAATAATAACAACAACAAATACATAAGAAACATTAGTCAAAATCAGAGGCATTTGGTCTGGTTATTGATGGAACTTTATTTTGGGAATAATTAAGCGGAGAAAGAGCGACGCGAGGACCTTTGAGTATATTTGGAGAAAGAGTTACTTTATTTGGTGAAGGTGATACCTTCTTTGGAGAAGGTGTTGGAGTGAAAGTTGGAACTAATTTTGTGTAAACACTCTTTATATCATCCTGAAGCTTTTCTGAATTATCACTAACTACAGATAATATCTGCATCATTCTGTTTTCAAAGTTTTTAGCTTTATCTTGAAGAAGTTTTTGGAAATTAATAAGATCTGCTGAAGAAATTTGAGAATTAGCTTGAGTATTCTTTGCAATAATTAACTCCTTTTGCTGCTGATGTGTCATTTCCATTAATTTCACGCGAAGTTGTATGTTTTCGTTGTCTGCAGCTGCAGCACGTTGAGATTTTGAGATAATTTGTTCAGGTTTGCAGTTAAAAATTCTTGTTAATGTAGATACTAAAATATTTGCTTCCTCTAATTTAGCTTCTGTGTTTTTCTTATATTCATAAGCTTCATCATAGAGCTTTTTTTGAGTTTCTATGAAAGACAATCTGCTGAGAGGATTCTTTCGTGCATTCTCTGCATGAAATGATTCACTGTTGTGGAAATTCTCGACATCATTATATAATCTCGCAATTTCTTTCAGTAATTTTTCACAATCTACGCTTTTCTCTTTCAGTAATTGTTCTAATTCGGCAGGATTAGAATTTAATGGCTGTATGATATTCTTTGAAATTTTTAATAATTCTTGAAGATGATTTTCTTCAGATTGTGATTTTTCTTTGGTGAAATTTTCAACTTCGGCTTTCAATGCTTCATTTTCTTTTTCTAATGTAGCTATCCTTGCTTGAAGATTAGCGATTGTTGTTGCCGCGTCCATTATTTTTTAAACGGTCACATCAAAATGTGACAATTCATCATATCTAATAATCATAGAATCTATCTATTTTATACCACCACACATTGAATCATTCTTCTCTACATGAACTATAAAATAGATATTTATACAATATATCTAAATTGAGCTCATTTTTGTTTAATTCATATTCTTAATATATAATAATTATCATTTTTGAAACTAACAAACTGGTATTCCAGCTGTTTTATGAGGAACTATATTATCAACGCGCATACAACTGTAGAATCTAAAATCTTCTTGTATTACCATCGTGGAATTACATTTTGAGAAGTCTTGAAATTAATAGCCAGCTTTGTTTGAAAATATCCCAGACTAATACATGCAAAAGAAATGATATTGAAATTCATGATTTCAATTTTTATGGGAACCTTATCTTGAAACATATTGAGATAACAATAATTTGAATAAATTTTCATTAATAATCATATTATCTGACTGTATGAATGTAAGATTTTACTCTCAAAAGTGACAATGTCTGAGACTAAGGAGGCTTTCTTAGACAGGCTTTTAGCTCAGATTCACAAGGAGAAATACTTTGAAGAAGGAGAGTATATACATTTTCAACATGATGATCTATTGAGGTTAGCAAACTTATCAATAAACATTTTAAATAACGATCCAATATTACTCAATCTTTCATCACCTCTATACGTATTTGGCGACATTCACGGATACTATAGAGGTTTGATTTCATTTTTAGATTACTGCGGCTACCCACCAAAATCTAATCTTTTATTTCTTGGCGATTATGTTGACCGCGGACCTAATTCCGTAGATACAATAGTGACACTTTTAGCACTTAAATGTCGTTATCCACATAATGTATTTCTCATTAGAGGAAATCATGAAACTAGAGAATTGACAGCTGTATACGGGTTCCAAGAGGAATGCAAAGAAAGATACTCGTTACAAGTATGGGATGCTATCTGCGAATCATTCCGCTATATTCCGATCGCAGCAATTGTTGGCGGCACAATATTTTGCGTTCATGGAGGTATAACCTCTGAATTTCAGCGTCTTTCGCAAATCACACAAATAGAAAGGCCACTTGATCCTTCGGACGGAGGATTAGTTCAAAATTTACTTTGGGCGGATCCTTCGCCTGATATTACAGGCTTTGTTAAGTCGTCAAGAGGCACTTCATACAAATTTGGTGTAGACATTGCAGAAAGCTTCGTGAATAACTTCGGATTTGATCTGATTTGTCGCGCTCATCAGTCAGTTGACAAAGGTTTTGAATTTCCATTTTCTCCATCGACATGTCTCGTTACATTGTTCTCTGCGGATGGATATTCTAAAAATCCACCAAATCAAGCAGCGATCATGTACATCAATGAAGAAATGGTATGCTCTTTCAAATTTTTGGAATCATCTAACTGACTTTCACTAAGCATTTGTTTGTATAAACTTTATTATGATATGTTTTATTTTTGATTTCTGTTTTTTTTCTGATTTGACTTATGATATCATACATTTTAATGATATTAATATATTAGTTTGACCCATTCAATCAGAAAAATATCGATTAATTGACAATTCTATTGATTATTTCAAATCAATATGCTTTTTATTTCGGTAAATAGAGTCAGATAGAAAATTACAGTAGGCAAAATCCAAGATAATTAACAATATATCATGATGTTACTAAATTAAGGTGATCTTAAAGTTCCACGATACGTAACAAGATTGAGTCGCATAGATAAAAATCAAATATTCAACATACTATCGGGAAACAGATAAAATATGTTTTCATCCAATCATTCTCTCAAATTGAAAATTAAAACCGCTTCGTTACATTCAAAAATTGTGAATCTAATTGAATTCATGCGCTCTTTTTTTATCGACATAGAATTTTTTATTCATTCTATTATCTCTTGATGTAAAATTAATTTTTTGATCAATTGGATTGAGCACGTTATTCATGAAATTATGGGAATTTTTCAATAGAAGAAAAAAGATAGATCACATTCGAGCAGTAGATCAAAGATATAAAGAAATTTTAAGATTGTAAAATGCAATATCAAAAATTTCAAAAATGTTGTTATCTACTTTCTATGCCTTAGCCTTATCCCACGTATGCAATCATGATAGTCTTCCGCCCATAGAGCGGAAAGTACAAATTATTGAACAACCTGATATACATGAATCCACTGGCGCAACAACATTTCCATATCCTAATAGAAGTACACCACGAATAGTATTCAACTTCTCGGAATTAGACAAATCTACAGCATTAAATCAAGGTAAGATCTGTTGGGAGGAAGGAATTGTTGTTAATGATGTTAAATGCTCAAAAGATGACGTAATAACTGCAGAAAAAAGAAATGTTATAATAGAAACATTTAAAAATCTTCAAACGTACATGGAAGGATGCTTGAAAGTTACACCAATGACTACAAGTATTCGACTTGTTCCAAATAGAGCTGAATATACTCTCGCCCGCGAAGGTGATGAAGCAAAAAACTGCGATATGTACTATACTATCATTCCTCGTCCATATAGCTCTTCAGAATTAAATGTTCTTGCATCTGCTTCATCAATTCTAGATGAATCAATAGAAAAGCGTCCAATACAAGGAATAGTCTTTATCAATGTTGCTAAGCTTCCAGACAAAGCCCAAAATTTAAATGAATATCCAAATGAGTTCTTTATTACTTGTTTCCATGAACTATGCCATGCACTTGGTATCTCCAACAGCACTTACAAAAATTGGATTAATATAACTACAAGACAACCTTATTTTGATCAAAATGCGAAGACAATGCATAAAGAGAAGAAGAACTTTACCATAGTTTACACGCCCGAAATCCATAAATACGCAAAAAAGCGTTTTGGAGTCGAAACCTTTACATTTGACGATGGAGAAATTCCATCTGGCATAGAACTCGAAGATGGCGGCGGTTCAGGTACAATGGGATCACATCCTGAGATCCGCACTTATTATGGAGAGTCAATGGTCGGAGTTTCTTCAGCTCATTCAGTTATTTCAGATTTAATCTTCGCCATGCTCAAAGATACGGGCTGGTACGAGGTTAACTACACATACGCCCAAGGCCACTCCTGGGGAAATGGTTATTCCATTAGTACATCTCCATTAAATTCATTTGCAGTCGGAGCTCCTCAAACGAGCTTCCCCACCCACTACTTATGCAAGGTAAATGGCACAGAAGGCTGCACATACGATTACACGGCCATCGGAGAATGTAAAACCGAAAATTATGACTGTGACAAGTATCCTGATGATCCATTCTGCCAATCCCAAGATTTCTACAACGCCAACCGTGAAACTACGCGTGGACATTCCTCAGTTCACGATTGGATTAAATATATTATTCCTTATAACAACAGAAATTGTCTTGATCCAAGCAATTTCGAGAAGCCGAGCGATTCCAAGGAAGAAGCCGGTCCAAATTCCCGTTGTTTCGAATATCCAAACGGAAAATTCGGTTGTTTCCTTACGAGATGCGACGGATTGGACCTCTACGTCAAGTTCGGAAGCTACGAATTCCAATGCAAGAAGGGTGGTGAGAAGGTTGGCCCGATTTGGCAAAAGATTCTTTGTCCAAATCCAGAATTCATCTGTCGCGGCATGGCTGTTGCACAATCGTTACCGGAAAACCCATTTGCAGATGATTACCAACCTGCTTTAGTACACCAGACTGAAAAACTTGGCAAGAAATTCCCAATTAGTGATACTTTGTTTGTTATTCTTATTGCTATTGGCATTGTCATCATCATTGTCATTGTTGTTGTTGTCTGCGTATGCAAGAGATCGAAGAGGAAGTCCAGAGTCTACGCAATGGAAGAATCTGAATCTGACGACCTTCCAAAGAAGAAAAAGAAGAAATCACATTCAAAGAAAGAGAAGAATTCTAAAAAATCAAATGACAACGGTGACCAAGAAAAGAAAAAGAAGAAAAAGAAGAAGAATGACGATAACTAGTTAATTACATCTATTTTTATTCATATATTGTTTCATAAAATGTTTTATTTATTTTCATATTTCATTTTTTCACTTTCAATATGGAAATATTAATAGATTTAGGATATTATTATTTTTTAATTTGAATTCTCTCAATTAGGAAACGTCATATTTTTATTTTGAGTAATAGATTTCTTTCATGAGGTCATAATTTGTATATAATTTTAGTTATACATCAATTGATTTCAATGATTATGTTATTGATTAAGCTATATTCATGATTCAGAGTGCTTTCAAGCCGTTATTAACATTCTGGAATGTGAAAATAAATAAAGCATTTTATGAAACATGGATAGAGAGCATGATCATAATCATATATTTGCAAAAAATAAGTTTGATGCGATATTATTATTATTGAGAAAGCAATCAAAAGCAACATAATCATGTAGATGCAATTAATTGAAATTCTGCTCGAAATAATTGTTAAAAAAATGACGATGTACATGCTTAAAAAAGGATTGAGTTTTCCAGCTTCATTGGGTATGAAGTACATTCATTTTTTTTGCAACAATGAAACAAAGAAGAAAGCAGCAATTTAGGAAAAAAATATTATTTATCAATTCTAATAAATCGTTTGATTAATTCAGAGATGAAAAGCTTACTTCGATTCTCTATCTCACAACCACATGAAAGTTGGTCACAATCCTTGAAAGCATCTCTACCAACTGAAAGAACACATTTAGGAATATTGATAAGTTTGAGATTGCGACATCCCTCAAATGCGTTCTGTGAGATCCGTTGGACACTATCACTTGGAATAGTAATAGTGATAAGGTTGATGCAACTCATAAATGCACCTTTACCGATATTCATTGTACTACCTGGAAGAGCAAAATACTTGACAGGAGATGCAGGAGGGAACAAAATAAGAGTGGTCATCGATATGTCGAAGAGGGCACCTGTAACTACTTTGTAGTTACTGTTACTGCATGTTATATTTCGAATATTGAAACAATTTCTGAATGAACCAACACCAATTGATGAAAGTTTGCAACCTGTTGGAATGATTATGGATGAAAGAAAAGCACATGAAAGAAACGAGTCTGAATATATAGTTTCGAGAGATAATGGACATGTGAATGTTGTAATACCTGTATTGCTAAAACTGTATGAGTTAATGATTTTAATGCTACTTGGTAGTTTGATTTCAACTAAGTTAGGGTTATCAATGAAACAAAATTCGCTGATTGATGTGAGATTTGTGCAGCTGCTAAGATCCACAATTTCTTGATTGCAACGATTGAAACAATTATTTCCTAGTGATGCAATCATGTTGTGATACAAAACTTTTGTGAGAGATGTGCATCCTGCAAAGGCACTATTGCCAATAGAAGTCAATGAACGAGGCAATTTAATATTGGTTAGTAATGTACACCCTGCAAAAGCGCTTTCTCCAAAACTTGTCAAAGAACTGTCTTCCATAGAAATAGATTTGAGTTTTATACAGTTCTCAAAGGCATGAGTTCCAAGACTTGTGCATGAACTGAGTGTAATACTTTCTAAATTCTTACAGTTTAAAAATGCATTATCACTTATTGTTGTTAATTTTGTTGGTAATTCTATAAATTGTGCATTCTCACAACCAGAAAATGCATTGCCTTGGATTGTTTGCAATCTAGAATTTGTTTCGAAGATGATTTTAGTGAGTAAATTTTTGTTTTGAAATGCAAATGATTTAATTTCTATTACTTCGGATGAAATTGGAATTTCTTTAGCTTCATTACCTCCAATGTACTGTATAAGAGTTTGGTTATCTTTTGTCATTATAATATAGTACTCATTCACATAAAAGTTGGAATTTTGTTTGAATTCTAATCTAGTTGTTGTATCGAATACTTTACCATTCAATTCTTTTAAATTCTCTGGCAAAACAACTACTTTCAAATTTGGGCAATTAACGAAACACTCACTATTTATTATTTTTAATGAATCTGGCAATTCAATTGAAGCTAATCCTGTATTTTTAAACGCTCCTCCACCGAGTTCAACAATTGATGATGGTAATTTAACTCTTTTTAACTGAGTACAGCCTTGCATTGCAGAATATTTAATTGAAGTTACTGAGTCTGGAATATCTATTTCTGTAATTAATATTGCTTGCAATCCAAATTCATATATTGTTTTCAGAGTTGTTGGTAGTGTTATGCTCGTTATTAAGCACGCGGATAGGGAAGCATATCCTATTTCAACAATTCCTTCTGGAATAATTACAGGACCAGATTTCATTGAGGGGTAAAAAATAACCCTTTTAATTTACTATCAATCAATAGTGAATATTCTTCATAAAAATTCGGATTTTGTATGTCAACAGAAATTGATTTTAGACTTGTGTATTCAAATGCTGCTCCTTCGATAAAACTCACTTTAGATGGAATTTTAAAATTCGATAATGGAGTTTTAGCAATGAACCATCTTAAAATGGATACCATATTACTGTCAATTGGGATTTCAATATTTGTTAGACTTGAACAAATATAAAAACAATATTGAGGGATTGCTGTAACTGAAGAAGGAAAAGTAAAGGAGGAAATATTTGTATTGGAAAAACAATAATCACCTAGAGTTTTGATTGAGCTTAGAAGTAAAATAGAAGAGAGCGATTGACAATTTTCAAAAGCATGACTACCTATGTTCGATAATTGTGCGCATAAATGAAGATCAATGGATTGAAGAGCAGAACAATAATAAAATGAATAATCTTGGATTTCAAATAATTGCGATCCAGATACAAATTCAACAGTCCTAATTGTAGACTTACAGTTTTTGAAAGCATAATTACTTTTCGAGCTCCCAAAAATGTATTTTGTTCGAGAATGTATAGTAATTGAGTCAATATTTGATTCTGTTGAGTCCAATGATTCATAGTTATTTGAGTACTGGCTATTATTATATGAAGATGCTATTTAGTTGTCATTCAGCTAGGAATAAAGCAATTATTTATGAGATTTAAGAGTGATTTTTTAAGGTTGAATTCCGACTTTTTCAACTGTCACTCCCCGAATATTTAAGTATATATTACTTCTCTGCCATTTCGTTATTTAACCTTTCCAACAGCTTTCTTTAATGGTTCCTAATTCAAGTATCTTTAAGGATTGTAATGTGCAATCAACAAAAGCTATTCCCAATTAAAATTAATTACTCAATAATGTTAGTATTATTGTTTACTGACATCAATTTATGTCTATTGGCTGATGCATGACCGGATTTGAAAATAAAAAAGCATTTAGCAAATACACATGCAAAAATCTGTTTGTAATCAATATTATTTTTGTGGGTAAGTTTGGAGATGAAATAAAAATCCATTAGACTTTCGAAATTTTTAAAATATTAGAATCTGATATGTCTAACCAAAAATAACTTATCATTCCATGAAAAAGCACAACTGTATTCGTTTTATTAGAAGGCTATTAGAAAATAGAGATAAAAATTTTGGCGGCAAATTATTTTCCGTTACCAGGAAAATTCTTGTTGGAATAACTATTTTATTGAAGGCCAATTCATTTCCTAATGAAATGGTCAGTCAATTTCATTTTTTTGAATTCAGTAAAAAAAATTTACATTTCGATGTAAACACAATAAATTTAAAATGGAGAATAACTCCGGCTCTTTTGATTCCCGGGGAGCCCAAGATCCGCTTTCACGAGTTCATCCACTTGTGCACACGGTTGGGCTTCTTCTTCAGCAGAATTCCAATCAAATTTCTAATAATCAACCACTTAAAAACGAAATCTACTCAACCATCAATGAGCAAGTCCAGAATGCACTTGAAAACTCACGTACAACAATGTGTGCTTATGCTTCTAGTCCAAGTTCATTTACAGATTCATTAGTTCTTTGCGTCGCATTAAATGCCTTGTTAAATACACAAACAAGCAAGTTAACTAATGCAAATGAAGAACTTGAATCTCTCAAGCAAGAGAATAACGCTCTAAATGAACGCGTAAAGGATTTACAAGCAAATAATGATGAAATATTACAGCAGTTAAATAACTTTAAGGGTACGCCTTCAATGAATAGACAAATCAGCGACTTAAAGCAAGACTTACAAGATGCAAATTCGGCTATAAAGATGCAACAACAGAAATATCAAAATGAAATTGAGCAGTTAAAGCAAAAGCTTCAAGAAGCAAAGAATATGCATGAGGAATCAGAATCTCAAGTTTCCCAGATGCAATCCGAGGATATTAAGTACAAACGCGAAGTTGCCAAAAATTATCAAATTATTGCAGACGCTTTCGATGTCCCGACTACACAAGATGGCAACGCAATGATTGCCGCAATTAAACAGCGCTTCTTACTCGATCCAAACGATACAAACATGGTTCAAAGTATTTTGACACAAATTCGCACTGTTTCTAAGAAATACAACCAACTTCTTGGAAAATTCAATGTTGGCGCCAATTCTGAGAACCCACAAGCCGAAATTACAGAAAATGTTGAGAAAAGTTATTCCCGCAGCGTTTTAGCTCAACTTAGATCAGAATACGAGATCGATCCATCAACTACAGATATTATTGACGCAGTCCATGACATTTCCGCCAATCCAACAACAATCTTAGAAGATATGATCAAATCCTTCGATCTTCCAGAAGAAACGAAGCAAGACGAGCTTGTAGATGCCATCAAATCCAAGTTTGCCGGTTCATTCCAAGAAGAAGAATCAGTTTCTCCAGCGGCAATTGCTCTCAAAGAAGAAAACGACCAATTAAAGCAGAAACAACGTCTCCAAGAGATGCTTCTCGGCATCATCAGTACTCCTCCAGTTGTTTTCGAGCGCTACGGTGAAGAAACATCCGAAATCCAAACTCGTGATCTTGATATCGAGAACGATCTCGAAAACGAGAACATAACTCATATCCAGAACATCGCATCTGACCTTGACGAAGCCCAGAAGACCCTCGAGCAGTACCAGGAGATCCTCAAAGACAACCAAAGGAAACTTGACGAACTTACAAAGTCCAGAGACGAACAGATCCAAGCCGCGAAGAGAGAAATCAGGAATACTTACAAATTCAAGCTCGAAAAGCTCGAAGGAATCGTCCAAGCCCTCACTCCGAACGAACAAATCATCGACCAATTAAAGAGGAAACTGAAAACCGTCAGCCAAACAAACAAAGAATTAGCGAACAGAGTTGTTGAATACGAGAAAGCTGTAGAAGATTCTAATGCAGAGAAAGAAGCTCTTCAATCACAGCTGAACAGTATCCAACAACACGTTCAAGATCTCGAGAAAGAGAACGACCAAATTCATCAAGATTTGGGAAGTTCTCAAAAACTTCTTCAAAAATCTTCAGAAAAATCCGAAGAACTCGAGAAACTCCAGCAGATCATCAGTGATCTCACAATGAATAACCAGACAGCTAATGAAGAACTCTCGGACACAATATCACAGAGAAACGACTTGTTGACATTGATAAACAAGCAACAACAAGTAATTGTCAGTTTGGAAGAAACCGTTCAAAGAAGAGAAGAAAAAATTGACAATTTACAAACTACACAAAAACAAGAATCAGATGATGATATTGTTGTTGTCAAGAGGGATCTCGAACAAGATGATTTAATAGCTGAAGCACTAAGTGAAGTTCCTCTTCAAAACAGAGATGATGATTTGAATGATTTGAAACAAATTCAAAATTCAGAAGAAAATGATCGTGAAAAATCACTTCGAGCTTTGATTTTGTTGTTAACAAAGCTGAATGAAACAAACAAGCAGAACCAAGACTTGTTGAAGGAGAAGGAAGAATACAATGACAAGAAAGAAATCATCAACAAACTCAAACAAATGTTGAATCAACAACTTTCTTTCATTGAAAAAATTTTGTCAGGAAATGACAAAGACGTCAGTGATGACATCAAGAAATCTCTCACAGAGAATGTCGCAAGGATCCATGATTACCTCGAGCAGGAAGCACAGGCTTTCACTGAGGAATCATCCCTCTTCGACACATTAAACATAAGAGCTGATCCCCTTCAAATGAAGAAAGGTTTAGAAGATCTTTTCGACCAGTTCGAAACAATTGATACAGATGAAGGTGCACAACTACTAATACTTTTAAGACAGGCAATCACTGCTGCTATGATACTCAAGAGATACGCATCAGAAGCAATGAAACAATGCCAGAAATCTGCAAATGAACTCAAATTACTAAAAAGTGACATGGACAATTTCAGAAATGAATGCGAACGCAGGGCAAACAACAAGATGAGGGAAGCAGAGATAAGAGGTGAAGAAGTCGCTAAAGAGAAGGAAGATGTCGAAAGAAAACTCACAGGAATTCAAAATATTTTGAGAGCAAATTTGACAAATCCTGATGCTTTGAATGCAATTGATGATTGTTTGAAGGAACTAAACAACGGAGCTGATTTCAACCTCAATGAAGAAGAACTTCAGAAATCAGTTGAAGCAGAATTGATCGAAAACCGCCGAAAATTGAGAGAAACCGCTCAACAATTAGAAGAAACGAAGACAGAATTAGAAGAACTCAGAACTACAACGACAAGAGAAATCGAAGAGATCCAACAAGCATCTGGACAATTACAAGATGATGCACAAACAATAATTCACAACCAAGGCGATGAATTGTTGAAATTAAAGGATGATTTGAAGAACGCAAAAGAACAGTTCGAAAAGATGAAACAAGAGTTTGCAGAGATCAAACAGACAAATGATGACTTAAAGAACAAACTCACAAATGAAAAGAAGAGAGCTGATGACGCAGAGAAGACAAAACAAGAAGAAATAAACAGAATTAAAGAAAAAGCTTCATCAAAAGTTGGCAAAGTAATGAAGATACTTGCTCAAGAACAGAAAGCAAGAATCGACAAACTTTCTAACAGAATTAAGAATATACAACATGAATTACGTCTAAGAGATGAAGAAATACAACAAAAGGATCAAATAATTCTTGAACAAAATGAATCAAATGAAAAATTGTCTCAAAACTGCACACAGATTGAAGAAGACCTCAAACAGAGTAAAACAGAGTCTGAGAACACAATCAACGACTTAAACAACAAGATTAGAGAACTCTCTGAACAAAACAAGTCATTGGAAGTCCAAAACAAACTTTTGAACACAACATTGAAGACAAATGAAGAAAAAATGAAGAGAGAAAAGAAATCACAAGAAAGTGAATCGAAACTCAAACAGTTCAAGCAAGAAAGTGAGATCCAAAAGAGAATAGACGAAGTAAATGACGAAAACAACCAAAAGAACAAAGAATTTTTGAGACAAATCCAGTCAATTTTCATTGATTTGGCTGATTTCACAAAACCACTCAATAATTCTTCTGTTTTGCATTTGCTTTCCGATGTCATTGACAAGATGAAGTTGTTGACAAGAGATGCAGAGAAAGCAAACGATTACGAACGCCAGATCAAAGAAATCAGGACAATTACAAATTGTTCTAAAGGAATGAGAACAACAGCTGCTGTTTCTGATTTGTTACAAAACAACAAAGAATTGAAAGAGCAAATCTCTCAAAACAATAAAGAACAGAACCCACATTTAGTTGAGAAACAACTCAATGATTGGGAGGAATGGGGTAAGAGAATGCACAAGGTTTGCGCTTCTTCAGTAGCTCTTCCAAGTGATTCTAACAAACTTAGAACTGAACTTGAAACAGCTTTGTTCGCTATGACATCTGATAAAACTTTGATGAACAAGATGGATTTGTTGAGGTCCCAAAAGAGATTACTTAAAGCTGTTGACGGAGAAGCTTTGAAACAACAAAAGAGTTCATCTTCTCCTAGTTTAGTTCCAGTTATTTGTTTGTTGATGTTTACTCGTAGATTGATGAAAATTGCAAAAGTTTTGCCAAGTCAGATTTCATTCACTACAAAACCTGATGATGTAAAAGTTCCTGTAAACGAAGAAGTTGACGAACAACAGCCAAAAAGTCCCAAAATGAAATCTCCAAAGTCTAATTCCAAATCAATTTCATCAGTCTTTGGTTCTTCTGTATTGAATTAACATATTTTTTTATTTACTTTTAATTAAACTTTTTTTTATTTATAAAAAAATTATCTTTTTTTTCATATGACAGAAAGGGTTATTTTAGAGGGAAAAAAAGTAAAAAAGATGATCAAAATTCACTCAATTTTCCACTTTTTAATTCTAAATTATTATTTTTTTTTAATTAATTAAAAATCAACTATAAAATGCTTTAATATTCCCACCCTTAATGTTGAAGCTCAGGAGCCCTTCAGCATGCCAAAGGTGAAAAATTGAGTGAATTTTGATCGTCTTTTTCTATTTTTTTTCCACTCTAAAATGATCTGACAGAAATCTCCTATGAGTGTAGAAAGTTTAATTTTTTTTCTTCAGGAATAAGAATGATGTATAATGACAATCACAGCTACTAAAATTTAAGTGTATACTTATACCCATCTGACTTTAATTCAAATTCCCGACAATTGACATGAAGATATTAATGTGGCAGAATTAATTTTTTTTCTGATAATAATATTCATAATTTTCAAAGTGAATATTTCGAGTATTGATTGTTTATCCATGCAAACAATTTATTATTTCATTAGATTAGGCCTGTTCATGCGGTAACCCGCGGTATAATTCCGCGGAAACCACATATCGGGAGAGTTTATGAAAATTACGGAATAAAAAATATACGAAATTATTTTCATTTTTTTTTTTTTTTTGATTTTGGAATTTTTTTCAAGGAAATTTCACTGCAAATATCTTCGATTATGCGAGTCATAGCTGGTTAAAACAAATTCATGAGAAATTAACTAATTTTAATATTTTTACCGCAAGCTTCCCGCAAATTGAATAGGTTTTACCGATTTTTTTGACCCTATTTTACCGCACGGTAATGTTTTTTTCGATTTTGTCCAGGCCTACATTAGATTAACCTATCAAATACAACGATGTTCTTTTGTATATTTAAATTGTCATGATTATATATTTTTGAATATTAAATGTAAAAAAACTGACTATCTGACATATCATAAGGGTAAACTTTTGAAATACTAGTCAACCATTGTTAAGAAAATATTACATTGCAATAAATACATTTATTTTAATATTTGATTTTGAAGCCGAGAGCCGTTTGGTATTTGCATTCAAAACAATTTCAGACAAAAAGTGAATTGAACACAGTCAATTTTTTTAATGAAAAACACCCAAATTAAAATCAAGAGCTTCATCATTGATGAAGGGAAAGAAACAGAAAAGAAATACGAATGCAACGATGCAGGGTTACCACGACTCGATCGAAAGAAGAAACGCAAATTAATTGATATTCAGGACATGTATAATAAAATCGACGGCCCCATCGATCAGCAAGATTCAACATTAGATGTTTCACCATTTCAGGAATTCAATTTTAGTCCGATTCAAGAGATTTGTATACATGAACCATTTGATGAAATTACTTTGAAATACCAAAATAACATATAATAGAAACCCATAATTTGTTCTATCAAATGATGTTACATGTATAGTACATATAATTCGCGTTTATTAACATTGAATTTCTTTTAAAAATGTTCCAAATATGTTGAACAATTTAGTAAACATGTTAAATTGATTATCATGCTATTTAAATATAAAAAAATTTATAAAATTGAGCTACAAAATATTTATTTTTAACCAATGAAAATGATATTTGTATATCAGAGTAAAAGTCAATTTAAACATGCATTCGAAGAAATAGTTCGCAATAAAAACTATATAATATATTCACTGTTTTATATTATAATAATAAACATGAAATTATTATATTATTTATATGAAAAAATGATCAAAAGAAGATGTATTCATTCTGAAAATTTTAATAATTTGGTATTTTTTTGAATTTTGACTTCATAACCAATTTTTTTGACTTCATAACCGTTTCTTTTAAATATTCCGCAACAGAATAAACATAATTGCAACTATTCCAAATTGCTAAAGTTATTCCATATTAAGGATACACTTTCTCCCATCTGACTTTAATTCAAATTTTTGACAACTTGTGTGAAGCGTCATTGAAAATTAACCTTAAACATCTGAATTGAAAGCCATATCATAGGGGCGTAAATAAGCACTCTTAATTGTGATCTTGAAATTATTTTAATTTTTCACTACAAAAATAAAGAATTTTGATGCTCAATTTTTAGTGAGGATGTTTTATTGTCGTCTGGAAAAAGTGACAAAATTATTATTGTCGTCTAAAAAGGTGACAAATTATTATTGTCGTCTGGAAAAGTGACAAAATTATCATTGTCGTCTAAAAAATAGATTTTTCAAGCATGTTTCGGTACCTAAATAAAGGAAGAACATCAATTCCATCTATGTATATAGTATGCAAACACGCATGATATATGGAGTAGCTCTTTATCTGGCTAAAAATCCTATTATTTGAAAATTCGCATTGTCGTCTAAAACCGCCAGACGACAATAATAATACCCCATTTTTAGTAATGCATGATTATAATTTTTATCCTTCCAAGTATTTAGAGGGTATTAGATTCTAAAAAATGAATATCATTGAATGTCATTGTTCTTAGTCAATAGCTAAATTAAAGTCAGATGAGCCTATGTACTATGCTCTTTCATTTTATATTCCTAAGAGTTCTCGAAGAAAAGATTCAGATTTATCATCAAAATAGTTGTCTTTGAGTTTATTAAGTTCAATACTATCGGGTGAAGGAGTTTTCCGTTTTGAGTTGATATAAAGTATTGAAAGAGTCAATATAATTCTTAAATTTATTCATGAGTTCATCATACAAACGTGAATTCATACTTTGAAATGATTTTCCAAACAAAAAATATAAAGTTATCAAAAAATTTGATTAAAAAAAGTGAATTGAGCCAGGTCAGTTTCTTTAATGAAAAACTCCCAAATTAAAATCAAGAGCTTCATCATTGATGAAGGGAAAGAAACAGAAAAGAAATACGAATGCAACGATGCAGGGTTACCACGACTCGATCGAAAGAAGAAACGCAAATTAATTGATATTCAGGACATGTATAATAAAATCGACGGCCCCATCGATCAGCAAGATTCAACATTAGATGTTTCACCATTTCAGGAATTCAATTTTAGTCCGATTCAAGAGATTTGTATACATGAACCATTTGATGAAATTACTTTGAAATACCAAAATAACATATAATAGAAACCCATAATTTGTTCTATCAAATGATGTTACATGTATAGTACATATAATTCGCGTTTATTAACATTGAATTTCTTTTAAAAATGTTCCAAATATGTTGAACAATTTAGTAAACATGTTAAATTGATTATCATGCTATTTAAATATAAAAAAATTTATAAAATTGAGCTACAAAATATTTATTTTTAACCAATGAAAATGATATTTGTATATCAGAGTAAAAGTCAATTTAAACATGCATTCGAAGAAATAGTTCGCAATAAAAACTATATAATATATTCACTGTTTTATATTATAATAATAAACATGAAATTATTATATTATTTATATGAAAAAATGATCAAAAGAAGATGTATTCATTCTGAAAATTTTAATAATTTGGTATTTGTTTTGAATAGTATTGAATTTTGATTCACAATTTTTTTTGACTTCATAATCATTTCTTTTAAATATAGATTGGGATCATTCTAGAGTGGAATAAAGTGGAAATTTGAATGAATTGTAATTGTCTTAATTATAAATGATCGAATATAACGTCGATGAAATATTCCGCAAAAGAATAAACACCATTGCAACTATTCCAAATTGCTAAAGTTATTCCTTATTAAGGCTGCACTCACGCCCATTTGACTTTAATTCAAATTTTTGAAAATTAACCTTAAACATCTGAATTGAAAGCCATATCATAGGGGCGTAAATAAGCACTCTTAATTGTGATCTTGAAATTATTTTAATTTTTCACTACAAAAATAAAGAATTTTGATGCTCAATTTTTAGTAATGCATGATTATAATTTTTATCCTTCCAAGTATTTAGAGGGTATTAGATTCTAAAAAATGAATATCATTGAATTAGAGTCAGATGAGCCTATGTATTATGCTCTTTCAACCTTTTAAAACAAACCGGGAATTCATTTTATATTCCTAAGAGTTCTCGAAGAAAAGATTCAGATTTATCATCAAAATAGTTGTCTTTGAGTTTTTTAAGTTCAATACTATCGGGTGAAGAAGTATCAATATTTGTTTCTTCATTTAGGCTAAGGCCATGTGAAATTAGAATTTCTATGACTTCTTTACTATGAAATCTGATTGCACATTGAATTACAGTTTCCCCATGAGAATCTTTTGCGTTAATATCAGCACCATGTGAGATAAGAAGTTCTGTTATTAACTTATTATTTTGAACCGCAGCATAATGGAGTACTGTTCTTCTTATATTATTAGCTGTGTTTACATATGACATATGAGAAATAAGTAATTCTGCTAAATCTTCGAAATTATTTTCTATTGCAATATGAAGAGGTGTTTCTTTATATTCATTTATTGCATAGACATCAGCACCTTCTGATATAAGAAATTCTACAATTTCCTTCCGATTATACCTTGTAGCATTATGTAGAGCGGTAGATCCAAGCGAATCAGTTGAATTGATATCAGCACCATGAGAAATCAAGTATTTACAAAGTTCTGGAAGGCTATATTGTGTGGATACTGCAAGACATGTGCCAAAATCTTTTGTACTATTTAAATAAACAAAAAATGCTTGAAGATTATAGTATTCAATACATTCATTTAGATTTAATGTGATATGGTATTCATTCATTAAAAATGCAACGAAATCAATGTTATGTGATATAATTGCATATGTCATACATTCTTCATCTGGATCTTGTTCTTTCAAACATTCACTTACGATGTCTGGATTCCCGCCTAAAAACGAGTATTTTAAGCAATTTTGAGTGATTTCCAGTTGAAACTTTGTTCTTAATAACTTGAAGCATTTAACTGCTCCATGAAAACAACACAATTCAAGTAATGAAATTCCATAACTAAATGTTTCATTTCGAGTAAGTGGACTTTGTAGAAGAGTCATATTTGCATCAAAATTTTCGCTTTCAGTATGCATTATAAATGAAATAATGTCATCATTAATAATTGCTTTCGAAATTGCAATTTCCCCATGTATGTCTATAGAAATATCTTCTAAATATGAGTCATGGAAAATAGATGAAACACTTTCAATATCTTTTGGATGATATTCTTCATGAATAAGCTCGGCTAATTTGAAATACGACTTAATATATCTGCGATTATATTTGTGAATGCGTGAAATAACCGTTATTATCTCTTTGGAAGAGAATATATTTGAATCAATCAAATTTGTTTTGATATTTTTGTATATTTTTTTAATTTCTTCTTCGTTTTCCGTTTTGAGTTGATATAAAGTATTGAAAGAGTCAATATAATTCTTAAATTTATTCATGAGTTCATCATACAAACGTGAATTCATACTTTGAAATGTTTTTTCAAAAAAAAAATCATTTGGTCAATTCTAATAATTATACAAGGTACGATGAGAACTTCTTTTTAGCGCCAGTGGTGCAGCCCAAACCACAGGTCGCTCCCAGTTAAAGAGAAGACGATAGTAAAAACAAATGTTAAATAAATTTCGATAAATCAAAATTTTGATTAGCAACAGAAGATTATAAAAGGCTTTCGAAATTATAGATAGAGAAATATGCGATGATTGCCCGCGAAGTATATGAAATAAACTTTAATTGAATTATTTTCAAAAAAAATAAATATTCAATTATGTTTGAATCATATGATTTTCCTTCCTTTTCTTTTCCATTTAATTCTTTTGAAGTTTCTAAGGATGTTGCTACAAATAAATCATTTGTTATGACTTCATCACAATTGGTATCACATTTTGTTAGGCAATCACAGATAATTTCTTCTTCGACAGGTTTAGCATATAGATCTCCATAAAATGAAAGAGGTATTCCTTCTTTTAACTTTTTATCAATATCTGTAGAACCATATGAAACAGGTTCTCCATCAAACTCTGTCGTATTATCATTGGCACCATGTGAAATAATAAATTCTATCATTTCTTTATCATTAAATACTGTTGCACGATCAAGCAATGTGAGTCCAGATATATCTTTTGAATTGACATTTGCAACATGCAAAATAAGAAGTTCTGCAATGTCACAGTAACTACGGCCAACAGCAATATTAAGGGCCGTTTCATCGGCTTTATTTTTTGCGTCAACTTTAGCACCATTTGATATAAGAACCTCAACAACTTTCAAAACCATCATTTAAAAAATACAATTTATAGAGCAATTATGGATAATACCATTATCGTAATGACAAAGTAAAGCTCATATCATTCATTGGTATCAATGAATTTGATGAAGATCACAAAATTAAATTCCAATTATCCAATTTTTTTAAAATGGACATTCATTAATTGAATTATGTTGTTATTATAGAGCAATTGATTGTTTTAAGCTATTAAGATCAAAATTTAACTCATAATCCCGAAAGAAGGAGTCAGGGCTCTTCTAGCAATAATCTAAGCAAGAAAATGGTAAATTATATACAACAATTTATGTGTCTATCCATCTCAAGATAATGATTAATGTTATCAAGCACTCACAGAAAAAAATAAAAATAAAAATTGACGATAGAATATAAAAGTGACAGAATGTTCAAAATTTGGACTCGCAGGCATCTTTTAATCGAGGACATTCCCAATAGTGTTAAACAAGAAGGGCTTCTTGCATTCATTAACAATATGCAAAAAGTTGAGCAATTAGAATATATTTATGAAAGTTTTATGGGTCAAAAAATCTTTCTTCACGCTGCCGTTGTTTTATTCCAAGATAATGTGAATGTAAATCTCTTTCCAGACGATACTAAACTCATTTACAAAGAAAAAAAGCTACGAACATATCATGATTTAGAAGAACGCATCAACCATCAAGCATTTTTATATGGAATCGATTCAAAAACGACAGAAGATGACATAAGAAACATGTACAGAAAGTTTAGAGTAACTACAATCAAAATTTATCCTTTTGAAAAACAATTTCATTCGTATGCGATGCTTTATTTCAAGAAGGCACGTGACAGAGATGCATGTATGATCTATGCGAACCATTTCCATAACTGGAATCTATACTTTTTCCCTAATGAAAATCAAGTTTTGAAATTAAACTCGTTAACTACTGATATTGAAGTTACAAAAGACGATCCAAAGGTCACATTTAAGTTTGACCGTTTCGAATTACATGCTAATCTCAAAAGATTCTCTTCAATCGCCAAAAATGTTCTTGAATCTTCCTCAATTAATGATTTTCCAGGCGATCACGATATGTTTTTGAAATACATAGATGGAAACGAGATCATTGTCTCGCCAAACCAAATACCTTTCCTAAAAAGTATTGGAAATTATTTCAAAATTAACCAATTGTCAGAACTTCGCCTCACTCCGTTCATCAATTTCGACAACATAATCTACTTCCTTAACATTTGCCAGTCTAAAAAAGAACTTGGAGAAATTATTAATTTTATTGGTTCAGAATATGCGAGATTGACACATAACGGCAGGATCAGAAACATTCCTGCAGCCTATCTTACAGAACTGATTGAGAAATTACCTGCTCCTGGCCTCACAGAAAAACATATCTTTAAATTGTACATGCAGAACACGAGAGAGAACGACAACCCTACTCCTCTTCTTAAGAAGATTGATTTCGACTCATTGAAGGTCTCAGAAGTCTCTAAAATCGTCATGGACAAGAGAGTTTCGATAAATGATTTTCATGATCAGATTGTTTCGCTTACAAACAAGAAAGTCGATATCCAGCAATTCTTAACTGTCCAATACGATCCAGAAAGACCTCTCAACGGCGTATTTTCCTTCATTTTCGAACGAGATGGAGCAAATAACTTCAAAAACGCCGTCCAAGCTGAAGCTTCTTCCACCATCAAGACAGAACCAACCAATAATACAGGTGATGTCTACTGTATCATCGATCCGAAGTCAGGAAACTACTTTTCCTCAAAAACCGTCCCTCAACAATGGGTGAAGTTCACTTTTGCTCATGAAGAACTTCAGTTAAGTCACTACTCTATACAGAGAGCGGATATGTCCTCTCCATTCATCAAGAGCTGGGATTTGAGTGGCACAAAAGATGGAATTAACTGGGTTGTCCTGGATTCTGTTTCTAATTCTACTGCTTTGTCTAAACCAAGTTCAATCATAACAAGACCAATTCCAAAATCAGATTTCTACAAGAGTTTCAAGATTGATCACACAGGAACAAATTCTAGAGGTTATGATACACTCATCTTGCAGAAAGTTGAGTTCTTTGGTGCTCTAAGAGAACAAGAACAGGATTAATAAAAGAAATTGTTATATTTTTATATTTTAAAATGAAAATGAATTTTTGTCACTTTTTCAGACGTCAATAAAAATCCTTGAATATATGATATAAATAACTCTGAATTGATGCTGTTCAAAAAGAAATACTCAAGGATGTCTTTCTGTAAATAGTGATACTTTAATTGAACTAATTTTAGGTCTCTTACGGGAGACTTAAAAAAGTTTACAACTATTTAAATTTAAAGAGTTTTGAAATCCTTGAAAATTTTTCCAAAAACAGGCGCCTAAGTTCGATGCTACGTTATTTTCCGGTCTAAATAGTAGAATTAAGCGTTCACATCGAAATTATAGGGGGTTTTCTCTTGTCTAAAAATGCTGTATTTTTTTTTTTCAGTTATACAATCTATGAAAAAAAAAATCCAACAATTCATTTTTCTATGGTAAAATTTCACAAGTTGTGTAATGAATTAACACGTGTTAGTTTTCTTACAGAATATGGACCATTAAATATTAACATTAATGGTCGAACAATCAAAACAAAAAAGTCATCAGCAGTTTGTTTTTCAGATTTAATCAAAGAAAAGTACATTATCAATAAAACAATAAGATCAATTGAAGCAAATCTAGATCTTAAATGCGAAGATTCTATTGATATAGTTATAAACTTTCTTGATACAGGAAAACTTGAGTTTGAAGAAGATGAACCACATTATCATGACATCTTTGAAATCGGTAAACATTTTGGTAATCAACTATTCATACAATTGTATATTGAGCATGTTAAACACGACAAATCTATTACTAACGAAAACGTTTTTGAAAAGTATGAAGTTTCAGTTTTCGAAAAAGACATTAGAAGTGAAAACGAATGTATTGAATTCATTTCATCACATTTATACTGTTTCGATGAGAATGATATCATTGAACATTTTTCAAAATACGGCTATGAATTCTGTGAGAAAATATTGCAATCGAAAACATTAAAAGTTGAAAACGAAGATCAATTATCTTTATTACTTTTAGAAATCTGCAAGAATAACAATACATTATTCGATTTATTTCGATATATCAACTTATCATTTTGTTCATGTGAAATATATGACAGAATTTATACATTTTGTATTGAACATTCATTCGAAACAGTTCTTCTTTCTATATATAACGAAACATTAAAGAAATATCATTCAAATCTTGGAGCAAATATTGAAATCTCGAAAGACCCTATTTCATCATTCGAAAAGCCTTTAATTAAAAATCAATTTACAATCTCAAATAATTCTATATATGTTTATGAAATTGTAAAAGCTTCTGAAGAAATTAAAATGGAATTTACAGCTTCATCTGTATTTAGTGGAAGTTTATCAGATATAAATTCTTATAGAAATGATTGTGATTTCTATACTCAAAATGATTCTAATTCATGGATAAAAGCTGATCTAAAAGGATATAAATTATGCCCAACATCATATATTTTACAATCAACATGCGCAGATGATCCTGATCTTTTGAGGAGATGGAAGTTAGAAGGAATCAAAGAAGATGGAACAACAGTTGTTTTAGATAACGATAAATATTATGAATTTAAGAGGTCTGAAATCAAAGAATTTCCGCTTCAAACAAACGAATATTTTGTATCTTTCAAAATAACTCAAACCGGAGAGAGTGCAGATGGTGATCACTTTTTTAATTTAATTGTTTTTGATTTCATAGGGTTGCCAATAAAAATATAATAAATCCTGTAAATAGTTTTTATAGTAATAACTACGAGACAAAAGGATAAGTAATCAATCTTGAACAGTTTACAGAATAATTTGTATAATATCTCGCAATTTAAAAGTGAACTTGCACTTATTGTCTCGCAGTTTGAATAAATTTCAATATTACTTTCAGACTACATTTCAATATCAAGAAATAAACTCTTTTTCTTTCGTGGGGTTTCTTGTTCAAATTTTTGATAGGGATTCACTCAATATTGAGGCAGGAAAACGATAGGGAGAATTTACCTAGGTAAATAGGTTTAGGTAAAAAGTTTATATTAATCTTTATATCTCTAAGAAAAAAAAATCTAAAAATATAATATTTCATTCATAAGGGCCCTTTGAAACATAGTTAGTAATTGATTGAAGTGTTGATTCTGATAACTTGTATTGTTGAATAAGTTCTTGATTTTCGAGTGCTGATTTGAATCCATCATAAAAAATTTGTTTAAATGATTCGAATTCTGATCTTTCATTAACTAATGAAACTAATGTAGAATAAATGTTCTCTGCTTCAATATCATCACCTCGAACTGGTAAATGTGCGGTGATGCATGAAATGCATTCTTCCCATGGAATATCATCTGGGAACTTCTTCATGAATGTGCACAAAAGAGAAATACAATCTGAAATAGTACTGAAATAGTGCATTTCACTAGTTTCATCTGATTGAAGGATATCAAGAAGTCGTTCGATTATTCCTTCTAAGTGTTTGTAAACAATCTGTGGTTCTTTCTCGGTGATGGACATTATACCGAGAATTGGCTCTGGAATAACTGAAAAATCACAAATATCGATATTCATGAATTGTTTAACAACAAATTTCTTTGGAATATCGGGTAATTCTGTAGAATTGTACAACTGTCGCAGAACACCAAGATACTGTGATTTCTCGAAATTAGAGTCTTCTTTCATAAGTTTGTTTCCGTGATCAAGAAACTCATTGAGAGGGAACATCTGTGGGAACATTGTTGCAACACTAGCAAGGAATCGATATAATCGTGCTGAGTTATCAAGGAATGTACCATCATCGTCATCGAAGTCTTTCTTGAGTGTGATTGTAGCTTGTTTCAAAACTTCTGAAATAACTGATTCGTCTGGAATGACGTTGTTTTCAAATAAACATGCAAAGTATTTGAATGATGATGCTTGAACGAAATTGGATTCTTCCAAGTTTTTAATTGCTGCTTCATAGAATGAATTTAGTTCGATTCCTTGTGATGCCTTTCTGATCGATAAATATGAAGCAGCTTGTGATGCTGCAACTTGGATGTCCTCGGATCCGGAGCCCATCATGTTCAAGATCATATTCATCCATTCTTCATCGTTTTCGGGTGAAAGTTCTGGATAGTATTTATAGATCATTCTAACCATTAAAACTGCATCATGGATATATCTGATTTGTAACTGTTCTCTCGATTCTTCGAAATCTTCTTCTTCGTCATCAATATCATCTGCATTTTCGTCTGAGTCGTTTTCATCTTCTGGAGCGGTTGTGATATACAAATTCATAGCGTGTTCGACAATAGAAATGATTTGGTCTTTGTAATACATAAGAATTGGACTCTTGATCAAAATCATGTTTTCGATTGCAACAATGATTGCGGATCGAATTTCCAAATCATCGGTTTCATATGATCCAATGATATACTCTAAAGAAATACGAAGTTGTTCTTCTGGAGTATTTTCACAGAATCTTAACATGTTACCAAGTGCTTCAATGACATTTTGTTTCAATGTTGTGTCATCGTTTTCGGCCAAATTAACCCAATCACTAATTAAACTGAATAAGTCTTCCGAGAATCTAGTGACTTGGATTCCAAGAGAAAAGACCAAATTAGAAAGAACATTGATGCATTTAGAAGGACAAACATCATTATCAATGAATAATTTAATACGTTGTAACAAAATTGTTGCATCATCAATAGATTCGATGTTGATTGTTGATAATATTTTTGCAATTGCATCGAATGAATGTTCTAAGATAGAGACAACATCTGGATTAGTGATATCGATTTCATCTTGGCAGATCATGCTGATTAATGGTCTTAAAATGTTGTTTCCGATAGAATCTTGTCCTTCTTGTAACAATTTGCCAATTTCTTCAATAGACATGACTGATACCTCTTGGACACAAAGATTGTCGTAGTTAAGACGTTGGACAAGATATTCGCAGATGTCATCAATGTGCTTCATAACTGATTCACTAGAATGTTCGATGCAGTTATATAATGAAATAATTTTAGCTGCAAAAAGTGATGGATTTTCGTCGTCATCGTGAACTTGAATTGCTTGTAATAATTCGTTGAAGAAACTACGGCTTCTGATGGTTGTACTAGCTGTTTCAATTGTGCCAAGAATGAAGATCATGTCCTCTTGGTATTCATACAATTTGTCTTCTAAAAACAGTTGTGATGCTGTTAATATTGTATGTTGTAAAATTTGTGGAACTTTTTCGCGTAATGACTTACCGAAACGTGCAATAAGTTCTTCAATCAATGTATAGATCGGTCCATATAGTTTTGGATCTAATCCTTTTGTATTAAATAAGTTTAGAAGAGAATCTAATAATTCTGGTGCAGGAATATGGAAATCTTCTGTCTTAAAGCAGAAAGCAAGACGTGCTGATATTCTTGCTGCTAGGCTGGCATCGGAAAGTGATGTTTGGAATGCGTTCATCATCAAATCAAATAATAATTGAACACTTTTACTTTCTGTGAGATTTGTGTAGTAGATAATGACAGAAGCAAGACCACAGGCGTGAACAATGATATCGTGATCAGTTGATTGTAATGCTGTAGCTGCTAATTGAGAAAATGCATCAACATCAAATTGTTCTGGGTTTAATTTGGGTATGTAATATTGGGCAAGGTAGAGAGACAATGCTAAATGTGTTGTGTCTCCTTGTGCTAATTGAAAGATGAGATTAAAATATTCTGTCCAAGTTGCAGCATCTGTCTTTAAAATAGTATCAATAGCATGAACTAGAGTAAATGTGATGACATTGTCTGTTTCGTTTGTAAAAATCTCGATGATTGACTTTTTTAGATTTTCTCCGTTTTCATTTCCACAGAAAACAGACTTCCATGTGTTCTTTAGAGTCTTGCCAAGGTTAATGACTGCAGATTGCTTAATAGTTCTGTTATTTGGTGAAGAAAATATTTGTAAAAAGATTGCAATCGCGTCTGGATTCTGATGGAGTTCAAGAAGTGCTTGAGTTACTTGCTGAACTTCTTCTGTTGATGTTGCTGAGTATGACATGCGAAGAAGTTCTGTTACTTCTTCCATTTTTTCTCTAAAATTTTGAGAGGCAAAATCGAGATTTTGTTCGAGCACAAGGTCTTGCACATTTCCTTTTTTATCGAATATTTTAGATATTCATAAGAAAAATAGGATTTTTCACATTGGCATTATGAAATAACAATCAGGATTTTCAAAGATTTTTTTGATTTTTGATTTTTTAATGCAAAACTAAGCCATATGACATGACCAATATGGTAGACATCATTTTAATCTTTCTTTAGGTGCTAAAATCCAGTTAAGGGTGCACACGAGAGGATCATGTAAACTTCAGAATTTAGAACCTTATTTTTAGGCATTATCTTGGCTACCTATTTAGGCTCGAAAAGCAAAAAATATCAAAAAATACAACATGACTCCATTATGACCCTTTCATGGAGGTAGTTTTTATCCGCTAGTATTTTCCCTTTGAATCTCTTTACAATTCGAAATCAAATTCAAAACTCAGTAGAAGAAAGGAAGAATCGACTTACTACGGTTGTAATACGAATAAATACATATATTTAATTATTTTTATTTACATAATAATTGTTTGAAGCTCATATTCCATCAAATTTTTAAATAAAAACATTAAAATGTTGAAAACGTTCATATATTTTAATAGGGTTTTGGCACTTTATTGAGGAATTACTACATACATAGTCGAACTGAACTTGATATTTTGAAATTTAAATTATTTATCAAAATTAAAATTTAACTTGAAATTTATAATTATTTAGTCATATTTGCATAATTCTAAGTAGATTTTGTAAAAAATCAAGAAAGAAAAATTTTCACGTGCTTTATTTTTTCTTTTTTATAATAATACATATTATTATATAATTAACATATTCATAATGTTTCACCCTTTCAAAAATATAATCCTCCTCCTCTCAAATAAACGTACATACGGGTGGCCTCTTTTTTCAAAAAATTAAAATTTGAAATTTTTGGCTCAAATATTAGAGATTTTTTCAACCTTCAACGATATCTGTTGTCTATATCAGACCTCCTTTCTTTTTGATACTTAACATTGTTCCTAAATCTTAGCCGTTAAGGCTGTTCTGAAAATATTTTTTTTTCGAAAAAATTCGAAAAAAATTCTTAAAATTCAAAAATCCCTTAATTCTTGAGGATTTTGGAAAAAAGTTTTTACATGAACATGTGTATATTATATGAAGTATATTGATAAGGTAAAAATCAAATTTTATTGCATATTCATCGAGAAAATAAACTAACGAATCCCTCAAAATTGAGAGGGTAATCCTCCTCCTCTCAAATAAACGTACATACGGGTGCACCCTTAATTTTAAAATATTGTTTCAATAAGCAAGCCTTACAAAAAATTTATGTTCAAACGATGTGAAATTGTTCAATGAAAGTCTCATAGCTGATTGATTGTTGAGTAATGTCTTAAAAAAATTTTTTATTGAATTCAAAATGAGGGGAAAAAATGATAGAATTACAAATATTTGAATAGGTATAGTTTATTTCTTCTTAAGAACTTCGATTTTCTCCTTGATTTCTCCGAATTTGGTCATAATCGCTGTAGATGTTTTATTGTAATAATTTTCTAAGAATTCTTTGGCCAACTGTAAGTCATTTTCTGGTTTTCTTCCTTCGTAGACAACTAAATAAACGTAGAACGAAATAAGGAGCATCAACAACATTAAGAAGATTCCGAACGGTAATAATGATCCCTTTGGCCTTCTTACAACTGCTGATCTTCTATCAATTGAAGATGTAATGACAGCGTCTTCGATTTGAGTAATTGAAGTAATTGGGGATTTATGTACTTCTTTTCTATAGTAAATTTGCTTAAGGGTGTTCCTTTCTAGAACATGAACATCACCATTGCATGTTCCAAGAGCTATTTCTTTTTCATTTGAATGAGCCGCTGTAATTAAAATTTTGATGTGTTCTTTTCTTTTGATTATCTGTAATTTATCATCTTTGTATTGTGCTTGTACTATTAAGCATTTTCTTTCTGCAACATTATTACCACAAACAGTAATGAGGTCGTTATAAACAGAAACGTTTCTTGGCTCGCAGCCAAAATCATCATCAGTAGAAGCTATAACATCCAGATGCTCGTTTGGCTCGAGCATTTTGATTCCTTTTGCGTTTGCTACAAGAATACAGTAAGAATCTGGTTTATGCTTGTAAAAAAGGCCTCTTTGAACAAGTACTTTGCCTGTATCTGATAATGATGTCTCGCTTTTGCCAAGAAGACGAAGTCCTGGCACAGATAAAAGATAAATAACGTTGCTTCCATCAATAGCAATAAGTTTTTTGCTATCTGGTGAAAATTCTATATTGCGGAAGAGAAGTTCTGTAGTTTCTGTATCGAAAGATGAAAGTTCGTGGAATTTCTTATCGAACAATTTGATACAAGGACCAATTGCTGCAGCAATAAACTTTTGGCCATTTGTATCATATGTAACCATTGAAACAACGTCATCAAAATCATATTTGTGAACTAATTGGAGTCCTTTTTTCTCAAGTTGGGCAACTTTAAGAGAGTTATCAATTCCAACTTTAGATTTGCCTCCACCACCTGCAATGTACACTGTTTTCGGAAGGCAACCTGGAGAAACTGAATAAGCTGGGTATCCAATCTCAAACATTTGTCAAAAATGTCGATGAAAAATTATTTTACATTCAAAAAGGGAGAATGTCTATTTCGAAAAAAATAATCGTCTTTCGGTCTATTTCGAAAATAATCGTTCCGATCACGACGATAGACATTAAAATGCATAATTCTCCACCATAGAGTTATTTTAGATCCTTGGCTTTTTAGGCGCTACTAAAGCATACTATTTGCAATTTATTTATATAATAAAAATACTATGTTATGCTTTTTTATGAGATTAATTAGAAGATTGCAAGACAAATTATGATATTTCTCACTATTTTCACATATAATCAGATAGCCTAATACTAAGACTAACGTTTTGTAACTGTGCTATTGTGTTAATACATAAAAAGTATTATGCTTATTTAATTCTAAAAAAAATATTGTGTTTATAAGATAACAATATATTATTTGTGCTAACATATACGAGAATATAACAATAACGCTGTTGTTTAGCCCAAATATATTGTATTTAATATAAAAAATATTATCAATTATTATTTGTGTTTGCAACGAGGCCTTTAATAAATACATAGTTTAAGGTGATGATTCACAATAATAAAATGTGATAATTCTCTTAATTTTTTTTATTATTATGAAATATTTAGCATATCATTAATATAATGGATGATCTGAATTGTATTAAGGAAATCTAAATCTATTCAATGATTAAAATTCGATATAAATCGAGTTAAATCGCAATTGCATAAATTGATTAAGATATTAGGTAGATAGCTGTGGTACATCGTTTAAGTAGTAATGTTTATGAGTGTGTATATGCACAATTTGTGAAAAAACAGTTTTTTGTCTCATATTTCAAAAAAATATCAATAAATCGATTATTAGACAGAATACTTCACCAGTAATGATTGCGTTACGTTATAAATTAACAATTTTGGCCAATCATTCATCTAAAATTGTCAAGAATTTAAAATTTGAATAAAGCTGTTGATTTTATAAGAGATATATATGAGAATTTATCTTTAAAATTAGTCATTTGCTATGATATATAATTGGTTTATCTTAAAAGGTAATATCTATCAAAATTGATTACAAATTTTTGAGAAAAATCATAAATTTTTGCAGAAATAACATTATATACAAATATTAAACTTGATCTACTTACTCAAAAATTCCAAAATAATTTTAGATTTATGATTTTCATAGATTTTTTAACAATTTTTGAATTTATTTTTTATTTTTTGAAAAAAATTTGGAAATTTCACATCATTAAATCACGTTTTTACTATTTCAATAGTTATTTTTACGTTAAGTTGTAATGAATTTACTTATTTTTAAGTGAAAATATAAAATAATGTCAATATTTTAAAAATAATGAGGAATTAGCAAGAATGATCAATGTAACTCTTTCATATATCATCAATTACTACTTGTTCATTTCATTTATAGTGAATGAATATGGTTGAATGCTGCTAACGTATTCATTAACAGCTAAAGTTGAGAACGGGAACATCAAATACTGATTCGAAACAGATTATATTGATGAACTCGTCTCTATTTAATCATTCAAAATTCATATTTCTCGATTATTATTACAAACTCTCTCAAATTAAGCAAATTATACATCATTTTATCAACATTACAATTGCAATCTACATTCAATACGAAATTCAAACGAAATTCTCCATTATTACAATATTTTGATTCATAAATTAACGAAAATGAAATCTTTTATAAATTTCGAATAACTAAACAACGTATAACTCAAATGTACAATCAATAAATGAATTTCAAAGTTTTTTACAGATTCAAAATATCTTTTTAAAATATTCTCATTATCAGCTTCCTTTATGCTCGCATTACACTACAGATATATTTTGCCAGGCAACTACTTTAAAAAATTCGATTTTCAGAAATTTTACATTCTTTTTTTGTTAAAATCGTTCTAATACTAGTGATCCAGATCACTGCTACGATAAACAAATATAGTGCTTACTTTCTTACTTATTATGACTAAAAATTTATTTTTATTATTATTTTGTGCTTTATTTTTCATATATTCACTTCAGCATACTTATTTATCAGAATAATAGAGAGATTACAGGGTCATAATCACATAAAAACTTCTTTACCATGATTAATATAATGAAAACTCACAAATTGTCATTTTATAGGATTTTTCAATATAAAATTATGATATATAGAATATGTTTAGTAAGTTCCCAAACAATCATCAATACATATCATATATAATGAAATTATGATTTTATATAAGAACTTGAACACTTTCTTTACTATATATTTACCTCGGCCTAGACGAGTTATGATCTATGCATATATTCATTCACTTCAAAATACAATCTTTAATAATTTCGCCCTCTATCGTCGTGATCGGGACGATTATTTTCGAAATAGACCGAAAGACGATTATTTTTTTCGAAATAGACATTTTCCCCATTCAAAAAATTGGACAATAAATTTAAAATGATAACAAACTCTAGATGGATAATATTTATCAATTAAAAAAATTGAAAGAAATGAAGTGTATTCAATTAGAATTCCACCAATATTTTGAACTGAGATCAAGCAACCGGAGAATACGTTTGATGTTCAGACAGAGCAGAGTAAACTTTATATATATATGCCGACTGCATTCGAATTCAAATATGATTATTTCATATCCAATGTTGATGCTGTGTGTAATATATGTGACCAGATCACATATGCATCTGCAACAAAAATAAAAGAGATTAACACTCTTTAATAAAGTTGTAGTTCATTTACAGAGAATGAATTTTTATATCTGGTTGTTCATACTTACCTTTATTATATTTACCTTGCATTTCAGCACTTTCCTCAACTATACTCTAACCATATGTTTCAATCTCTTGAAAAATGATTTGATTCAATCATGCATCCAATCCTAGAGATAATTGAATAGATGAATGTGGTGGCATAGTTAAGTCAGGGTTTTAATTTAAATGACCAGTAAAACAATAATCTAAACTTTCTGTTGACATTATTTTTTTTTATAAATTTTCTTCACAATGAAACCTTTTAATAATTACCTTCTTTCGGAGAAAAAGCAGCCTATTCATTGTGAAACAATTACTTTACCAGGCCTTATAAAGAAACGTAGGGTTATGGCGCTTTCAAACTGGGGAATTTCATTATTTAAAGCAAAGCAACCAAAAATTGTCGAACAACATAAGTGGTTCGATATTTCCCAATATGAAATGAATTCAACAACAAATAAACTCGTTTTTAAAGATTCGATTTTGACTTTTGATGTAGAAAATGGTTCTGAATTGCCAAATAAAATAAAATCAGTACTCGAAAAATTAATGACCCAGTCCGAAATTACTGGGATTAATAAAGAATTTCATTCAATTCCAACACAACGGAGCGCATTTGCAAGAATCGTTGCTTTAAATCCAGAAAAAATAAAAGAATTGAATTACTTCCTCCGTACCACACCAGATTCTATCAAAATTACAAACGAAAATTCAAAGTACATTTTTAATTTAATTCCGTTATTACCTGAAGTAACGAGTCTTGAAGTGGAACTCAATGAATCATCACAATTTATGCCGAAATTCCTTAATTTTATTAAGTACGATTCACAATTAAAGCATATTCATTTTATTGGACCATTACCAAATCAGTATTCAGTAATTGCAGAGGCACTCGTTTCAAACATGCATTCCCGACTACAATGCTTATCGTTTACTGACTCAAACCTTTCGCAAGAGCAGTTTTTGACTTTAATTTCGATTTTGAACTCAAGAAACATTTATTCATTGTCATTTCACAATGCTTCACCTAACAGTTATTATTTTTTCTACAATACAGTTGTTCCTAAAATTAGAATTGCTCCAAAATTCATAAATATGAGGTCAACTTCCGGAATTTTACTTCAAAACTTATTGACATCCCGTACAATTATGCTTTCCCTTGATAATTGTAACCTTGAAGTATCAACAATTTTCGAAATTTTGTCATCAAATATAAATAACTTCAAGAATCTTCGTGTTCTTAGTGTTTCTAATAACTTATGTACAAAGACATTTGGAGAAAATTTAGTTCTGCCTAAATTAATCCATACAATTTTCGCAAATGGAGTTCGTTGGTCAGGATTCCATATGAAGGCATTCTTTGAGATACTTTTTGCTAATTTCAATGGAGGTTTATCACTTTCTCTTGCTCAAACTAATGCAAATACTGGAGAATGGAAATCTATTGATGATTTTCTTTCTTTTTCACAGTTCAAATCACTTCAAGTTCTTGACTGGAGTGGAAATCCTATTTCTCGTCCATTTATTTCATTTTTGTCTCGTCAAAAGTTCCTCCAAACCTTAATTTTTAATGATTGTTTCACATTAAACAGACCTGCAGAAGTTAAGCTATTTGCAAACTATCTCGAAGGATCTCCAATCAAGAGACTTGTCATGAATGGAACAGAAGCCACTCATCTTGGAGATAATTTGTCATTAATTTTGAATTCTTTGAAGAAATGCCAGAATATCCGTGAAATAAGTATCGAAAAACATTATGCTCAAAACACATTCTACAATGCTCTTAAAGAATTCGCAAAATCGACAACAAAAAGATGCCTCATTAGTTTTGATGAATCATCACCAGTTTCTTATGCAGAATTATTAGATTTTCTCAATTTCTTCCTTAATGATCCTAATATCAGCACCGTAATTTGTTTCCCTCAGAATGATATCTCAAAGTACATGGGAGTTGAAACAGAATACAGAGATGTTAATCAGCTTCTTGATAAGTTTGCTATGAGATACGCATTTTCAAAGGAATACGAAACAGTTTTTGATAAACCATTCAAAATTCCATGGTTCGCTTACAAATTTGAGTTCCCAGAATATATCACTGAGGAACAATTATCGAGTATTGTGAAACAACGTGGAATTCCGGCCGAATTATTGCAAAATAATTCTTTGAATGTCACACCTTTAGTTAGGGGAGCTGGAGAACCAATAACAACTCCTATATGGAGTGGAACATCGAAGCCAAAGGAAATTGAAGGTGGAAGAAGACACAGACATAGAACTCCAATGACAATTGACAATGAAACGCCAAAAAGGAACTCACCAAATGTTATCATACAGAAGGAACCCAGGAGAAGGCATAGAAGACATGCCAATACATTACAAGGAGAAGATATTCCAGAAAATAACGAAATTAAAGACAGATCTCCTAAAAATAATGAACAAAAGCCAAACATTGAAGAGAACAACCATCATCACCATAGGAACCGTCGTAATCCAACACCTCAACCACATACAACTCATAAGAAAGAGGACAATATCATGAAATCTCCAGAAATTGCTCAAAAAATCGAGCCTTTAAGAAGTTCGAGAAGGAGATCTCAATCTGCAAAGCATCAGCATAAATCTCCATTATGCATCGAAGCCACAAATAATCTTGAAATTGCAGATGACAAAAATCGTTTTGCCAAAACTGAAATCAAGGCTGTTTCATTACTTAAATTAAATAACTCTCCACCTATTTTAGAAATATCTCCTATCAGAGAGATGGAAAAGCCTTTGGTTACAAATTCCCACAAGCATCATCACCATGCAAAGACATTAGCAGGTGATGAAGACACCTCACCAGCTACTCTTCAACCAGATCGTCAAAGGCGTAGACGCAGTGTCGGGAAAACAATTGATGGCTCAGATAACAAAATTGAGCAGAAAAAGACGCCATCTCCAAAGAAGATTGAAGAAAATGAAGATAAAGAACCACAAACTTTGCAACCAGAAAGAAAACGACGCAGAAGGAAGGTTTCTGTGGAACTTCAAAATTTCATTTTGAAAGAAGAGCCAAAATCAAAGAAAGCCGAATCCAGCGAGGAAGAACCACTATTTGTTCCTCCGATTTACTTGCAGAATGATGAAAAACCACCAGAAAAACTTCGAAGGGTTCGAAAACACAGGAAACCTTTGCAGAATGAAGACGATGCCAAATGGAATATGCCAACATTGCCTGTATATCCTGTAAATGACAACATATGGGATGCTTTAAGCGATAATTTTATTCTCGATCAAATGATTGCGGAAATTAAGGCTACTCCAATAGATCTTCATTATCACCATATGCCAGATGATCCAATTAAGGACTCAGATAACTAATATTTTATTTTGTATTTGTCTATTTAAAGAACTATACCATATTGTTTGATAATTGATTGCTCCATTTTTCCCAATAAAATTTACAAGCGTTCGCAAGTGATTCGGTCATGAATCTTATATACTCTTAATAATGAAAGTTAAGAAATTTTTAAAGACTCGTATTTCTTTATTTGTTTGCTTCCTCATGTTTTGATAAAGCTGATGGTAATTTATCTTTTGATGGAGAATAGTTGGTGCCCACAATTGAATTAGATTTTGTCAAATTGTATTCGGAAAAAGATATTTGGTACATATGCATGACGCAATAAAAAATCGAGTCAAATTTGTCAAATGCTTCTCATCCTCAAAATGACATAAAAAAAGTTGATGTAAAAGTGCCAAGGGATGAAGCGCAAAAAAGTGTCATCTGATGTTTCAACTGAGAATGATTGAAGCCATGATTGATTTCAGCAGCGTTTGGCTGTGGGTCAACATAGTTTTAATCATTAGCCACTTGGTTGTTGTTAAATTGTTTCATTTTGTTTCCTTTGGAAGCAGAGATCCCATCGAGATCATTTTATGGTCAACTCTCATATATCTTTTCATGGGTGCCGAATTCGTTATCTTCGTATTAACAATCAGATCATGTCCAATATTCGATTTTGGTTTCAACGCTTCAATTTTAGGACCAACAGTTTCGTTTTACTTCCTTCTCCCATTAAGCATTACATCAATTTTTAAGACCTTGAAAAATAGTGTCTTTTCTTATAGAGGAGCTTTTAATTTCAAATTCAGTTTAGCTTACCTTACGTTTTACCACGCAATTATCTCTTTGGCTTACTCAAGTCCAACGGGATTGTTCCTTAGCGCGATTTATTTGTTTGTTAATTTTATATTATTAATTACTTGGCCATCTTCCATTCCAAAGTCAAAGTATGAATAAAACCATTCAACCTATTCTTATTAACCTTATGCCTTTGATTTTACCAAGTTTTTGAACTATTTTTATCCGTTTATTCTTTCTAATTTTTGAACGAATAGTTTTTATACCAAATTTGAAACATCTGATGAGATATTTTTATATGTATGAGCTATATTCCAAAGGCTTAGTTACAGTCATTGGCATAATAATGCCTCATTTTCCGAGTTTTCTACCATATGATTTAACTTTCTCCTTTGAACTTCCTATATAGCATTTTATTGCTATATTGCAGGATTTTATGCATCTAACAAAATATCAAATTATAGTTTTATTAAATTGGCTTAAAAATGCAAAAAGACTAACATTTATTGTTTTTATTGTTGATTTTAAAGCTAATTGTCAGCAAGAAATCTTATTATATCACAATATTAATGAAGAATGTATCACAATTTTTAACCAACAATCAAAATATAAACAAAATAAATCCAAATACAGGTATGGAAACTTATGAAGCAAAGCATTATGAAGCTAATCCATTGATAGAATATATATTGGAACACCAAAATGAAATAGAATCATCAGAATTAAAAGAAGCATTTGCTACACTGAATGAATGTGCTTCAAAAGTCGATATGGAGCCAAATTGTTTATTCTTCTCAGAAGATTTTATTAGATTTATTTTCACAATTTTCGAAAATCAGAATGTTCCTTCAGATCTACTAAATTCCATTGCATTACTAATAGTTTGCGTTTCAGAACAAGAATATGGGCAAAAATTCTTTTCCAATTCTGAAATTTTCATATTGATTAAGTTATTATTTCAGTTTGGCGTGGATACCGGCCTACCCGATAAGTCTTTGATACTTTTAAGTATTTTCCTTCAATATGAGAATATTTCAAACAGTTTTTTTTCAGAAGATCCAACAAATCTTCTAATCGAAAGTCTTGATTATTATTTTAATGGTGATGACTTTGTCATTCGAAAATTGATGAATTCTCTTATTACTAAAGCAAATACTCCACCAGAAATAATGAAAGCAATATTTTCCAAATTAATTGAACTCTCAAAGAACGAAAACAACTCTAACATTGATCATATTTACATATTACTTGAATCAATTATTGTTCAGTACAAAAAAGTTGACTTTTTAGAAGATTTTGACTTTTTCACATTTTTTTCAGAGTTGCTTCAAACAGATTTTACTAGAACCGATTTATATGAAAATACTATTTCAGTCAATAATAGAAAACTTCATTTAGTGATTTATGCAATGGGAAAAAAAGTATTTGAAAAATTATCATATGCAGACTATATTAATATTTTACTTAATCCAAATGTTGACCTATTGGGCCACATTCCCTATCTAGATACGCTTTGGAGAGAAATTATTGAACCTGATGAAGAAGAAATTACCTCACAAAAGGCCAATATTCTATTTGTTGAAACAAGAATACTTGATCTTATAGATTTTCTTGCCCAGAATGGTCAGTTTTCTCATAGAAAGTATGCAATTCAGTTTTTGGGGACAATTATGACTGCAATGTCACTAGAACAAGTCATTTCATATGTTAAAGAAGAATACATTGACTTAGCAATTGATATGTGTGAACCTTCAGAAGGACATTTTCTCGCTCTTTTTGCTCTTTCAATTCTTTACACGAAAATTGTGGCTGAACAAAAGATTGGTTCAACTGAAACTGTTGAAAAGATTGCATACGAGAGCTTTTATAATACTCTTCTAGAATGGCCACGTCCTGAAGGAAAAGAAGATGATATTTACGCTCACAGATTTTTGGAGCTAGTTAATACAATATTACAGACTGTGAATAATAATAATTAATAGTAATTTATAAGTTGTTTGTTATAATAAAGAATTTTTTTCAGAATATTTTTTTGAATATTATCAAATTACATTTTCCATTCACTCTTTGTATATACTAGTATACTATGATTCTTTGGAAATGAGTGAAGTGAGTAATAAGGATGTGAACTTTGATTAATGCAATTTGATATACCTTAATGTATTATAATATATTTAAATTATGTTTAAAAAAGGCTTCCTTGTATAATATAAAGCGTTATATATCTTTAAATACATAGACATTCATATAAAAAATCCAAACTCATTTTAATTGTGGGGTCACAAGCTTCAATTGATGAAAAAGCTACTTGACTTTATGTGTGGATAAATGGAATTTCAGTCTAGCTCAAATCATGGCTCAGAGTTGCTCCCAATTTGGTCAGACTTTTTGATAAATTTTTATAAATATTAAGTATTCCTCTAACTAAGTTCGTGTTTTTGATTTCTGATAAATATGCCAAATTGCTCATTCAAAAATTTCGATAAGTATTCAAAAATTATAGAAAATTGAATTTAGACTTTTTATCTCAAATAAAATGGTTTAAAATGGAGAATATGGGCCAGGAGGAAGAACATCTTGTGGAAGAAGGTGAATCCAGCTTTCTGTTCTGTAGTTATTACGGTGAACTGGTGTGAATTGCTTGACTGTCTTTTGTGGAAGATATAAAACTTTATCCATGAGCCATTCACCACGATAGATAAGTTCTTGTGATAGAATAAGCTCGTTAACTCTAACTTGAAGCTTTGTCTTGCTGAATTCTCTGAGTGTTCTGTAGACAGGGAAAACAATCAGTGGACCAACACCTTCTTGATCGATAATAAATCTGTCATCGAATCTTTGAATGAAATTAGGCTTGTGCTCCATTTCTGACCACCAATAATGCTTTGTTTAGGGTTGAACAACTAATATATCGAAATCGTACAGATTCTGGTCTGGCATAGTCCCAATAAGAATAATTTCTGCGCGTCTTGTATGTGGCATTTCAAGAGCTGGTTTAGCTCTTGGAAGATATGCCTTACCTGGGTGATCAGAAGCAAGTTCACCATCAAGGGTAACAATGAAGGTAATCATTGAGTGTACACCTGGGTGGTTTTCTGGATTCTTGACAAGCATTTCTTTGGTTAATTTATCACCAAGTCTTGAAATCAAAGATGAAACTTTAATTTTAATCCAGCAGGCTGTATCATCTTTAAATACATCTTCGTCCATAACTGTGAACTTGACTGTATAGCAATCATCTGCTGGAACATCAAAAATTTCTTCTGGATAAACTGGATTTAAATTATTTGGAACAACTTTTGTTTTTCCTCTTTTTCTAGGTTTGTTATCCTTACCTTTTGTTTCAAGAATTACATAAGAATCGATTTTTCCGTCTGCATCTTTAATTGGGAGATCCTTACAGCTGATAATGCGGAAATGGAACATTTTTGTGAAGTGAAAAATCAAATTTTGGAAGGGAAGAATTACATATATATCGATGATAAAGACATGATATATAAAAAATTTGAATACTTTTGATATTGAATGACGATAATTTTATCCTTTTTAAATATTTACATAGTAATTAATTTATATCTATATGCAAAAAAATCGAGATTGAATTCAATTCAAAAATTACCGATTAATTCTCAATAGCATTTTTAATTCATTTTATATATTGTCTTATGGTCGCAATATTTGTCGATAAAATCTTTGCAATTTTGTAAGACAAGGAGGTTTTGAAGATTTATACGTAACGAATGATTACTAATGATTTTATGTTAAAATTAGTTATACGTTAGCAATTCAAATTTCGATACTTTTGCAAGACCATTTGTTATTCTGTCTATAATGTATTTGAAATGGCCTATTATCCAATTAACGAATTACTCAATCAAACTATCATTTTCTTTAATCAACGATATGAACAAATAATAAAATGCCTCAAATGTCTACAATTGCATTAAATATGACCTATCTTCAATGTTGTCAGAATGTCTAATGAAGTAAAATGTTTGAATTCTTATTTTTATAAATATTCAAATTCCTCAATATTCTATCTAATTAAATACTAATGGTACATAATATTAACTTAACCTAAATAGATAGATCATAAAGAAATCAAAAGCCAAACACCAAATTTTGTGAAGTTGAAAATATATTGCTAGCAATGTTCATTTTTAAGACATAAGCTTATAATAAATAATTGTTATTTTGAAAGTCCTAGTTAATCATAATTAACCAAATGATTTACTTTTAATAAATTTTATAAACAAAGAAATAACGACTTTTTTCAGAAAACAGACAATAATCTATGAAAATAAATCTAGTGGAATAATATTTGTCGAATGGTAAACAAATTGTATCATTTTAGAAATGGGCAATATTATTGCTGCTGCCAAAAAGAATGATATTACAATTCCTCCACCAGATAATCAGCAAGAAGTTCAGACAAAAATTATTAACGCAGCTGATAAGCCATCAGATGGCTTGAAAGAAATTTGGTTAAATGCCAAATCAGGATATTTTGATAAATCATGGCTTGTTTACATTGAAGAACCATTTACATATGCTCATTTTGAAAAGGATAGTGAAGGAGACGGGTTCCGTAACTTTTCGGAATTCGAAGGTTTGAAAGCATATGCTGTTTGTACCCTTTGGTCAGATACAGATAGCAGAATAAAGATATATGAAATGCTAGAAGGAAAAGAAAAAGGTAATTTAATTGCATTTCCTTTTTCAGCATTAGACATATATTATTCTCACAAAACATGCCAAGAGTTCCTAAAAGTTATTGAAACTACAGCAAAATGGCAAGATCAAGGCGATGATACTGATGCTATATTTGATAATTTCTTTGAAGCTCCCAAAAAGAAAGCGCAATAACTAAGCTGTATCTCCTGTTTACTTTCTATTTCAAAAAAAAAGAATAAAAATTAACCTCAGAATTCAATTGATTTTTTTTATTTAGTCACTTTTATGCCCGAATTGATTATATGCCATATTGATTGTATCACTTTGCCACGTGTTTTACCATCCGATATATATGTGTCATGGATGTTTAATGGAGATAATGGCTCACTTCCATGTTATATTGCTGATGAACCAGTATTAAATACATCAGATCATTTTCAAGTAGAATGGAACGAAAAACTATCGAGAAAAATGACTCTTTCCCTAAATGCATTTAATAAGAATGGATTACGATATCAAATTGGCAATCAAGAATTAGAAATTCCAATTGAAGCAATAATTGCAGGGAAAACTCCCACACAATCAGTGCAAATTACATCTAAAGCTGGCACATTTTCGATTTGTATTAAATTTGAAAAAGGAATATTCACAGAAGAAACTCAAAATCCAAATTCCACAAGTCTGATGTCTCTTATTAAGCCAATCGAACTATATTCGGAATTAATATCATCTTTACGTCCAATGCCTGATACAATTCATCCAGCAAACGATCTTTGGAGTTCTTCAGGATTTTCTTTGATTTTCGACTCTTTTTCAAAGTCAGATCTTGTACTTGAAGAAATTACTCAACTTGAAGAGGTTCAATACGCTTTAGAAAGCAAAAATAACAATATTCATTGGACTGCAAAATTAATTTCTTTAACAATACATTTGATGCTAAATAAGCAAAGATTGTACATCACCGAGAAAGGTGATATAGGATTAGAGCCAAATCTTACAGGAATTAAGCGTTTTCCGCTTCTTGCAGTTGTTATTTGTTATTACATCAAAACAGGGATATCTATTAAAGATGATAACTTAGATTCCATCATTATGCTTATTTGCAATATCGTTTGCACAAAAGAAACAAACGATGAACTGAATTATTACATTTTAACTACAATTTACACAATCAAGAGATATTTAGAATCCGAATTCAGCAAGAAATACCCTACAATTATTGCTGTTCTCCAATCCGCTTCCCAAACAGCGCTTTCCAATTTTCTAATTTTCTTTTTAGACTCTGTTCCACCGATAACCCATGATTCCAAGCAAGTTACAGCACTGTTAAAGGACTGGAAGATGAGTTTCATAGAAAATGGCTTCGGAGAAAACTTTGTCAACTCAATAATGAAAATGATGTTCAAAATTACTGATTTTTTAGTTGTCAGGAAGTGGATATTTGATATGGATACAGAAACAGTAGATATGGGATCATTAATTTCTGAATTCAGTGAATATTCTTTTCCATTAATTCATTCTTTGACATATCTCATTGCTTTTGCCAAGAAAATCATTAAAAAGAGGATATTTCCTGATGAAATCGTACCAGAAATGCGTGGAGAGTGGTATATGTACATAATGTTTAGATTAGTGAACTGTAAAAAGTTTGAATTTACAGAAAAAGAGATTAACGCACTCCATCCAACAAAAGCTGTCCCTGACTACCCTGACATTGACGAATGGGCTTTTGATAACAAAGATATGGCCCACGACCCCTTGAAGAAAATTGTTTTCCCAAAAATTCCTCAAGAATACCTTTAAAATTATCATTTTTTGTATGTTCTTGTTTTAATTAAACTTATTCTATCTTTACATAATTTGGCTAAAATCATCACGGAATTATGAGATGAAATGAAATTTGAAATGAATGAGGTGATCAATAGTAAAAAAAGTTGATTGAATACAATCCATCATATACTAATAAATAGACATGAAAATCTGGAATATTAATCAAGATGTAAGTATAAAGAAGTATTAGAATTACTCATTATTCATGGTGCAGATATCAATGCGATAGATATTGAAGGCAGAACAGCACTTCATTATGCATCTGAACAAAATGAGATCGAAGAAGTAAGCATTCTTGTTTCACATGGTGCTAATATCAATGCCATAGATGAACATGGGAGAACAGCACTCCATATCGCAGCACAACACAATTTCAAAGAACTAGCAAAAAATCTTATTTCACACAATGCAGATATTAATATCAAAGATATATATGATAAAACAGCACTTTACATTTCAATCGAAAACAATTATTATGAATTGGAAAACATCATTGCTTCACATTATAATTCATAACTCACATAGTTTTTTCTATTTTCCATTATCAACTTATAATATATTCTCTTTTGATGGAATAACATCATTCATTCTATAATACTAGCTTATTTTATCATGTTTATTTCTGAATTATACGTATATATGCTTCAAGTTCTGTATTGTATAAATCTCATATAATTGTTAAAAAAAATCACTGTTAACAGAGTTATTGTGATTAGCAGATCTTATGGAGGTTATACAAAATGTATATATGCATACAAATATACAAGATATTATAAATTACTTCTTGATAATTATTAATATTTTTTTCTTTGAAGTTGATGTATCCCTTTTAGAGAAACTCATTGTGCATGTATTTATCATTCTTAAGGCAATGAAATATCATTTAAATTCATTACCGATATTTGATTTCCATTTTTCTTCACAAAATTTGATTCCATTCACAAAATAATTAATGTTCGTTTCTCATTCAAAAATTGTATGCATAAAAATTGACAAGTGTGAATTCACACCATGCTCGGAGGTATATCTTTAATAAAATATGAATATATAAGAATACAGAAGCAATAATCTAAAAAACTTAAATTGATAATGCATTCAAAAGTGTATACTTTGAATAGAATTATTTTTCGTTAAAAAAAAATTCATTTTTTCACGATGTCCTCTGATAGACCGTACGTGTTTATACATGTTATTCCATCAATGGATGGAAAGATTACAGGTAATATCTTCAACACATAAAGCCTCCTTAACTTAAGAGGAGAGTTTGGCAGGACATTAGGCTTTCATGAGCGTGATGCATGGTTATGCGGAAGAGCCACATTTGATGCTATCTGCACTCACAATGAGACGGTTGACTTGAGCAACATGAAAAAGGTATGCCAAGAAGGAGATTTTGTTGCTAAAAGGAACCTCGATTTGGTTGCTATTGCTGTTGATCCAAAAGGAAAGCTCGGCTGGAAAGAAAATGTTGCTCACTATTTTGGTCAAGATTCCGATATTATCGAAGTCTTAACAAATCAAGCATCAGCACAATACAAAAACTACTTGCGCAGCAAAGGAATTTCATATATCATATGCGGTGATCACGCTATTGATTGGAAATTGATGCTCTCGAAACTGAAGAACACATTCCATCTCAAATCAATCGCCGTTCAAGGCGGAGGAATAGTCAACTGGTCACTGTTGAGAGTAGGATTAGTTGATGAACTTTCTTATGTTGTCGCACCAACAATAGATGGAAGGAGCACAGACGTATCTTTCATCAGGAGGAATCCAGAAGATACTGATTCACCACCTCTTGAGTTCGACCTTATTGATGTTCAGAGAGTCGGAGACAACGGAGTGTGGTTAAGATATGCTCCTAAGAAAAATTAAATCATTCAATTTGAAATAAGCATTAAACATTATACATTAATACAAATTTTTGAATCATCATTCTTATACAATTTTTCGAATAATCTACAAATAGTAATGTTGACTTATTTATGCATTCTGAAAGCTGTCAAAGTTTTATATCATAATGCATCTAATTCAAATTTCAATTGTATAGATACAGTTGTTTATATGAACATCTGTCTTGATAATTTTATCATCATTTAAAATAACAATTCATAATATTTTTTGACTGATTAACGAATCTAACTACAATAAATTGAAGAAATAATTGACAATAGCATATAGAGTTCTGGAAAATGAATTTATAACATATAAATTTCAAAAAATTTGAAAATTAGAAATTTTTGATTTTTAATTATAAATTGAATGATTTAATTTTTCTTAGGAGCATATCTTAACCACACTCCGTTGTCTCCGACTCTCTGAACATCAATAAGGTCGAACTCAAGAGGTGGTGAATCAGTATCTTCTGGATTCCTCCTGATGAAAGATACGTCTGTGCTCCTTCCATCTATTGTTGGTGCGACAACATAAGAAAGTTCATCAACTAATCCTACTCTCAACAGTGACCAGTTGACTATTCCTCCGCCTTGAACGGCGATTGATTTGAGATGGAATGTGTTCTTCAGTTTCGAGAGCATCAATTTCCAATCAATAGCGTGATCACCGCATATGATATATGAAATTCCTTTGCTGCGCAAGTAGTTTTTGTATTGTGCTGATGCTTGATTTGTTAAGACTTCGATAATATCGGAATCTTGACCAAAATAGTGAGCAACATTTTCTTTCCAGCCGAGCTTTCCTTTTGGATCAACAGCAATAGCAACCAAATCGAGGTTCCTTTTAGCAACAAAATCTCCTTCTTGGCATACCTTTTTCATGTTGCTCAAGTCAACCGTCTCATTGTGAGTGCAGATAGCATCAAATGTGGCTCTTCCGCATAACCATGCATCACGCTCATGAAAGCCTAATGTCCTGCCAAACTCTCCTCTTAAGTTAAGGAGGCTTTATGTGTTGAAGATATTACCTGTAATCTTTCCATCCATTGATGGAATAACATGTATAAACACGTACGGTCTATCAGAGGACATCGTGAAAAAATGAATTTTTTTTAACGAAAAATAATTCTATTCAAAGTATACACTTTTGAATGCATTATCAATTTAAGTTTTTTAGATTATTGCTTCTGTATTCTTATATATTCATATTTTATTAAAGATATACCTCCGAGCATGGTGTGAATTCACACTTGTCAATTTTTATGCATACAATTTTTGAATGAGAAACGAACATTAATTATTTTGTGAATGGAATCAAATTTTGTGAAGAAAAATGGAAATCAAATATCGGTAATGAATTTAAATGATATTTCATTGCCTTAAGAATGATAAATACATGCACAATGAGTTTCTCTAAAAGGGATACATCAACTTCAAAGAAAAAAATATTAATAATTATCAAGAAGTAATTTATAATATCTTGTATATTTGTATGCATATATACATTTTGTATAACCTCCATAAGATCTGCTAATCACAATAACTCTGTTAACAGTGATTTAAAAAAAAAACATAAATTAATAAAAATTATGATATTTTAAGTGTGCTCGATAGACGATAATGTAAATATCACTTCGAATGTATGGATCACCCGGATTCTAGGTACTCAATATAATAGCATTAAAAGTGCCTTTCTGAGTGTGGTTTATCGTGTTTAAGGTACCCTTAACAATTCTGAACTTGAAGCATATAAATGTATAATTCAGAAATAAACATAATAAGTAGTATTATAAAGAATGAATAATGTTCAAGAAAATATTGTTTTATTATCTTTTAGAAATAATATACTATAAGTTAATAAATTGCATATTTTGGTCTCATTTGGATAAAAGACAAGAATAAAGTCTATGTGAGTTATGAATTATAATGTGAAGCAATGATGTTTTCCAATTCATAATAATTGTTTTCGATTGAAATGTAAAGTGCTGTTTTATCATATATATCTTTGATATTAATATCTGCATTGTGTGAAATAAGATTTTTTGCTAGTTCTTTGAAATTGTGTTGTGCTGCGATATGGAGTGCTGTTCTCCCATGTTCATCTATGGCATTGATATTAGCACCATGTGAAACAAGAATGTTTACTTCTTCGATCTCATTTTGTTCAGATGCATAATGAAGTGCTGTTCTGCCTTCAATATCTATCGCATTGATATCTGCACCATGATTAATGAGTAATTCTAGAATTTCTTCATAAACGCAGTGTTCATTGTATTTCGGATTCTCATGACTAATTATTGATGCGAGATGGATTGCAGAACGTCCATCCTTTTCAATTCGGCAATTTATATTGATTCCATGAGAGATTAGGAACACAATCATTTCTTTATCATGCATCCATAATGCAAAGTGGAGAGCTGTTAATCCGTTCTCGACACTTGTATTCGCATCAATGCCATAAAGAATTAGAGTTTTCATGATATTCACATTATAATTTCGCAATGCATATTGGAATAGAGTAATATTGAATTTATCTTTTGAATTTAAATCAGCTCCATTCAATACAAGAAATTTGACGATTTCTGCATAATTATTTGTTGATGCCAAATGAAGAGAAGTTCTTCCTTCATCATCTTTAGTATTGATATCAACACCATGATGAATCAGCATTTCTAATATTTCTTTATTATTGTTTTTGACAGAATAGTGAATAATTGATAATCCATTATACTTTAAATTGCAATTTGCACCATGTGATATAAGAAGTTTTGCAATATTCGTATAATTTTTTGTTACTGCACAATAAATAGGACTATTTTTGACTGATTTTGTCATATTGACATCTGCTCCATTAACAACAAGAAGCTCTGCAATTTCTTTATAGTTTTTTTCAGATGCAATAGAAAGAGCAGTTTGTCCACAATAATCCAATGAATTTATATCTTTGATATGATGTAAAAGAATAGATACAATTTCTATTTTATTTCTTTGAACAGCACAATGAAGACATTCTTTACATGCATTACAATCTGCCCCATACATAATAAGAAGTTTGATTATTTCATTATTACCACAATAAATAGCATTATTGAGAGGAGTTTCATCACTATCATTCTTTGCATTACAATCTGCACCATTCATAATAAGAAATTTAACCATTTCTTTGTTATTATTTTTTGTCGCAAAATGAAGTGCAGTTTGTTGATAACAATCCATTTCATTGATATTGACACCTTTTGAGATACAAAGTTTTGTGATTTCCATATTATTCTTTTCAACAGAATAATGAAGAACAGTTTTCTTGAAGTAATCTTGTTCGCTTACAAGATAACCTTTACTTATTAGCATTTTACTTATTTCATTATAATTACATTCAACTGCAAAATGAAGAGGAGATTTTCCATAAGTGCATTTATCTTTTGTATGAATGTATTTTGAGAGTAAAAATTCAACCATTTTTATATCATTTTTGCATAAAGCTTGATAAATCGGTGCAGATCCACCTAAATTGATATTTGCGCCATGTTCAATTAAAAATTCAATATTGTCCATCATTTTGTCCTTATATGCAATAAGGAGGGCTGTATTATTATCTTTATCTAAGATATTTACATCTAATCCATTGTCAATTAGAAATTTCATTGTTTCTTTATTACTTAATTTTACTGCGTAATGAAGAAAAGATTTACCATCTTGATATCTGATGTTTATATTTGCTCCATGTTTAATAAGAAAATCCATAATGTCATAATTATTTTTTTCAACTGCAATTTGAAAATGGCAATAATCATTATAACCATCAGTATTTCTTTTGACTTCTGCACCTTTTAAAATAAGAAGTTTGGCAGTGTCATTGTATTTGTTTGTTAATGAATAATATAGAGCATCTTTATCATATGAATCTTTTGCATTAATGTTGGCACCATGGGAAATAAGGATGTCATAAAGAAATGTAAAATTAATTGCAACAGCAGGAAAACAATTTTGGAAATTTCTTGTTTGATCAAGATATATTAATAGTCCTTGAAGGAAATTGTATTCACAACAACATTCGAAATTGATATTAATATTGTACGTATTCATGAGAAAAATAACAAAATCGATATTATGAGAAATAATTGCATATTTCATGCACAAATCATTTGGCATTTGTTCTTTTAGACATTCCTTCATGATGTAAGGATTTCCTCCTATAAAAGAAAATTGAAGACATGTATCAGTTATTTCTGTTTTGAATTCTGTTCTTAAAAATTTAAAACATTTAACAGATCCACAGTAGCAGCATAATTCAAGAATTGAAAATGTATTTAATGGATATGCAAATGAATTATATAGATATGAATATTGATTGTATGCATTTGATGAAATGATCACAATTTGCAATTTTTGATTGATATTAAAATCTTTGTTATTTGTATACGAGATGAATGATTTTATATCATCATTGATAATAGCTGCATGAATAGAGTTATTTGGATCGAATATATGATCAAGATAAGTCTTATTATTATTAAAATTAAATAGAATGCTGTTTATAAGAATTAATAACAAATTTTCGTTTTCTTTAATCAAATACTCTTTATTGATCTTCTTGATTAAAGCCAGATATGAAGGATAATACTTAATATTGTGCATAAATGCCTTTTCAATTAGTATAATCACTTGTTTCGGATCTAATAATTTTGGTTCGATAATCTTGTTTTTGATGTCATTGTAAAAGTTATTAATAGCATCTGTATCGAATGTGTTAAGTCTGAACAATGAAACAAATATATTATTATAATCAGAATACAAACTCATAAGATTGTAATAGAATCCTTTAATCATGAAAAAATTTGATTTGCTTTTTTACAAAACCGTCAAAGATGTTGTAATTTCAATATCACACCACTTTTTTAATCATATATGCATCGATTAGATATGTTTGAGCTTTTTTGAATATTAAATGTTGGAAAATCCTTTATATTTTGTGGGGAAACAACTTTTTTTCTGGCAGATCCTCTATGGAACAAATTGGATTTATAAAAAAGAACAAAAGACTCGATTCAAGAGATAACTGTTAATTCAGTAGAGAAGAACGATTTCTAAGACTGTTTCTATAAAATTTCTCTATCTCTGATGCATTCACTGAATTTTGTGACATGAACAATATTGATCAGAGGAAATAGATATAGGATTATTTGATATTATCCTTGGATCTAGATAATTTATTTGATGAAAGTAACATTAGGTTAAATTCCTTTTTGGGAGTACCTTTGGAAGCCTTATACTAAAATAGTTTGCTAGTTAAATCAAAACAAACAAAATAAATTTTAAATAAACAAAAAAAAATTAAATTAAAAACAATTATCTAATTGAAACAAAGTTTTCGTATTTCCTGAATACTCTCTTTCTCGAAATTCCATCTGTATCGATGAAAATCATAGAATCTTTTCCGATATCTCGAGATATAAGTCCGAACATCGTTGTTACGTCATTTTCTCCATCGTAGCATATTGCTTCGGCCAAATATTCCTGTGTTGGGACATATAGAGCTTGTCTGCTGTCTCTGACGTCGAAAACGGAAATTCCTTTGTTATTCATGCCGCAAACGACGTAATTCTTGTCTCCAGATATACACGTGGCCTGACAATTCAAAGTAATCGATGGAACAGGAGTTCTGATGTCCCAAAGACGAACTGTTCCATCATCAGCTCTCGAAACGAATTCTGTAGACGTACGCTTCATCAGTTCTCTTACAATGCTTGTGTGACCAATAAAAGAACCGATTTCTTTGCCTTCGTTCGAGATTTGGCGGATGGAAAATGAATCTGCGGGAGAAGTGAAGAAAGAAGTGCCACTGGACATCAATGCTGATATTCCACGGTATGGCATTTGTATTTTCTTCGTATTGACCTTACTTCCGTCATAAATTAAATTATATAAAGAATCTGATTGGGAAAAAGCAAGAGCCGTATGAGGAGTTCCCTCTATTGGGACGAGTATCGGTGATCCGACAGCTCCTGAAGTGTCAACTGTGAATGATTGAACTGGATTATTTCTAAATGGGACTCTCATGACTTTATTTCCGTCAAAGCACCAGGCAGACTTATTCTCTGATATGCAAAGTGCTTCAATTGTTAGCGCACTTGGCAAAGTAAAAGAAACAAAATTTAATTTCGGATTTGTCACGTCACTTACGGCCATTAGCTTAGCAGGCGACATCAGATCGCTATATACATAACATGCAAAGCTATTGGTAATTGTAATACTATCGTAAGTTCCGACTCGAATCTGATTGAATCTTCTTTCTTGATATAGAACGCGCATTGGTGTATCTGCCTGTGGGATATTTGTTGTAGATACGTTTGGAGAGGCTAAATAGCTCTCTGGATCAAGAATACTCAAAGTACGATGAGATAATGAGAAATCTGAAGGAGTTTCTGTGACAATATCTTCCATACTTTGGTCAGGAAGACCACTCCTTATATGAACAAATGGCATTCCGCATGCGATTTTCTCAGGACTGCATAATCCTTCAGAAGAAACGATTTTTCGTACTTCTGAGTCGTATTGTTCGCAAAGACTACTTAGTTTATCTGTTTCGTTAGAATTATATGATCTTATTTGCTTCATAATTTGAGATAAATTCGAATAAATATTCTTTGGTTTCGGCGGTTGGTATTCGTTGAGGGCGCTATTGGATGGTGTTCTCACTAAGTTTGGTGAATTGAAATGAACTTTTGGCGGAGGAGGCCTTATCGGAGGTAATAAAACTTTTTGAGGATGATTTTGTGGTGGTGTTGATTGTTGTGGTACAGGTGATAAAGCTATTGGTGTGGAAACCTTCTGAGAAGGTTGAGATTGAGGTGATGAAACTTGGACTTGTGGAATTGGCTGTTGCATTTGTAGTATTTGGGATGTATTCTGTGGATGTTGAACAGGTGATGGTGCTTTTGGTGATGGATTATGGACTTTTGGAACAGATTGATTTTGGCTGTTTTGTGGTATTTGTTGTTGAGCAGGCTGCGGTGGAGGTATTTGTTGTGGTGGGGGAGCTTGCTGAGGAACTGGTTGAATTGGCTGCTGTGCAGGAGGAATTTGTTGATTCTGTTGTAATGGAGCTTGAGCTTGCGGTTGTTGAGGATTTGGTTGCTTCATTACAGGTGCTTGCATAGCCTGCATTTGATACATCATCTGCGGCTGCATTTGCATCGGTCTTTGTACGATGGAAGCCATTCCCATCAGTGGAAAACCGGAATCATTGAAAAATGTTTTTTTATTGTTGTTAAACCATAGACGTACAGCTCTATGAGTCCAATGCGGTGAAAAGTTTTTCAGGTATTCCGTTACTTGTGCTGCAATTTGGTTTCTATTGGAGGATCTCTCAGGAAACGAAAAATAACGACGAAGACCCCATATCAACCACTGCTGTTCCGTCTTTGTGGCGTAATAGCGAGCATTTCCATCGTTATCTAATCCATCATCACTCATCTTTTTTTTAGAAAAAATTTTTAATAAATTTTTTACAGAAAAAAAATTATAATTGTTATGTGATAGTGCTTTTGAAAATTGTAAAATAATCTAACTTACCGAGAGGTTGTAAATATTTCAAATTTGATCGAAATCGTTTTTTATATATCGGTAATTGAATGAACCTTGATCCCGCATGGGAGAAGAAGATTCTTGCCGATGTAGCTAATTTAAGAGTTGTGCTTGCACAAAAAGCTGATAAGTCAGCTGTTGAACAGATTAACAGATATCAAAATGAAATTACAAACCTAAGAATTACAAATGCTACTCGACTTGATCTTTCTAACAAGAATCCTGATGATCCTGAAGTTATTTGCCAAATGTGCATCGATAACGATGATATGGAAACTGCATTCTTGACTATTCTAAAGCATATTGAAACGCTTTCATCTACAAAAGCAGAGGTTAAAGCTGTAGAAAAGAAAGCATCAAAAAAATACGTTGAAGGCTTATTTGAAAGATTAAATAGCATAAATCGACAGCAAATACAAGATGCTAACGCTCATTTAAGAGACACTCTTGAAGCTAAACTAAATAGACTCAATAATGCATTCGACGACTTTACAAGAAAAGTAAGTAATCACATCGACGATTGTCACTCGAGATGTGAGCAATTAGAAGTATTTGTTCAACATGCAAAGGAAGTTACACAGCGTAGAAACGACACTCCTAAAAACTCATCAAATAATACCCCAACAAAATCTCCTCATATAGTTAAAAGAATGTCTTCACAATTTGCACGGCCATCTACTCATGTGGGAATTAGCACTAAACAAAAAGATTCAATGCTTGTTGTATTTTCTTCAATATAATTAGTATAATTGATTTGGATATACTTTAGAATTAATACAACTTGATTGTTGCCCAATCTCGATACTGTAAGTAGATTTTCTTGTCGAGAACTGTAATTTTAATAATTTCTATAGAAATATTATAAAATTTATAACCATGTTAACTAAAACTTATATATTTGTATATTAGTTATCATCATTTTTCTTAGCCACCACAAGATGTGCTTATTCTCTATTTTGAATCTAGTAATTATTAACGCCAGTTAGTGATTTCTCAGATGGAACTTACCTTTTTGTTGATTTCTATAATGGCCAAGTATTCAGATATATATCGGCATCAGTGAATTAATATAATTCACGCCCGTAATTATTTCACCTGAAAGAATATGAGTCAATCAATATCTCCAAATACTCCGAAAGATCAGGGAAAAACAATTGACTATGAGGAATTTAAATCACGAGCAAATTCAAGCAATATAAAATGGAATGCAAAAACAGAAACGTTGAAAATTTTTACCAAAATTATGCAAGATTTCCAAAGCAAAGGCCAAAAAAGGAAAAATGAATGCCAAGATGATGAACCTCTAATTAGAGGTATCATTAAATCTGATTTGGAATCTGTATCGAAAATATTATTTCCTAATGGGGAGCCAATCAACCAGGATATAATTAATGAAAAGAAGCCCAATAACCTACCAATAAATAAATGATAATTACATTATCATCTAGTCTAGAGCACAAAATTAATACCATTTGATACAAAATATGTCAGTTCGGCATTAATATGTTCTACGTATATATGGTTTGATATCTCTACGGCTATTTCATTGAATATTACATTTAATAGTTAATTGGAAATTGTATTAATATTTTCCAATCGATAAATCATGAAATATATGTTTCATTCTTCTTTAGGAAATCGTAAACATATCCATATGTTTTCTCTTTCATTTCAAAATTAATTTTTTCCTTTTTTCGTGTTAGATATATTGCATTAATAGCGGAACTCCAAAGAGAAATTGAACCTTGTATTAAAAAATCAATATAGAACAAATTAATACATGACATTTAATACATATTTAATCAAACAAACAAGTTAAATATTATCAACTATTACTTCGTGTTCTTCACCATCTAACATATGATCTTCTATATCTTCTGTGTCTTCATTTCTCTTAGAAGTTTTATGCAAGCAAAAGAAACGATAAATAAAGTATGAGAGAAAAATGATGCAGCACATAGCCAAAGCTGTGTAAATATATGCTTGATATGCTACTGAAGAGGAAATTTCGTTTGAAGTTGGCAAATATTCCGGAGTTGGACTCGAATCTTTGGTAGGTTCTGTTGAGTTTTGCATATAATCTGATTCATATTGTATCATTAGATGGTTAATTTGAGTAAACGAATCTTGATTTGGATTTTCTGTCGTTTTAGCTTCAAATCTATCATTGGCTTTGGCACCTTTATCCTGTGCATTGTGATTTAAAAGTATATCGGCCGAACTTAGTTCGTTTAGCGAGTGCCGAAAAACTATGAAAAACATCAAAAATTTTGAAAATCGTCAAATGAACTAAATATTTTTGAAAAAAAATATAAAACAAGTATTACCAAATTCCGGTTGGCGTTTTTGTATTATTGCAATATTATTTTTACTTAAAAAAGTGATCGCTAATTAAAAATTTTATAACGATTGAGATTTAAATTACCGTAGGTTGAATAGCCCGAGACCAATTTCAAAGGTCGTGTACCAATAAAAAATTTTGAATCAATTTACACAACGTGCCCATTTTACTCACTCAATATTTGAGAAAATAATTCAATTTTGAGAAGAATGGTCCTCTGCGTTTTGAGTGAGTGACGAAAAAAATCTCAGAAAAATTGAATGAGTTTTTATGGCCATGAACCAAATTTGTGAAGTTCCCGTTTAAAAAAAAATGCAACCAAGAACACGAATTCCCGAGTTTGCAGAATTAGAAAACTATAAAAATCTTGGGCTATTGACCCAGATGCAACTCGATTTACTCTATCGAAGAGTAAATGGCGAGTCTTATCAACAAATACGGAATGTTTACTCAATTTCAAAGATGACAGTAGCACGCGCAATCATGCGCACTGCTACTTGTCGTTCATGGACAAAAGGTCAGTCAGGGGTGGTATGACCCTTTTGTCACTACCAGATGAAATGCAGTTCAAAAAACTTGTTCAAGAGATGGCAGACGACTTGAACTGTATTACAACATCAATGGCCATTGCTGTCTGTACGGAATTACAAAATAGGAGATTAAAATTTGCGGCGCGGGTACTAATCGCTGCAAAATGCCCGCATCTTCTAGCGAAGCTCGATGATTACTGCCCATCGCCATCCCGTGGCTGGCTTAATCATATCGCCACAAGATTGTCAATTCGGATTGTGAGCTCCCAAACTATTGATATGCTCCGACGCTCTACCTGTGACGCAAACCATATTCGCCAATTTTTCCTCTCCAAGCATAGATACTTTGCCCGCAGGAAGAAGTTTATTGCGAATATGGACGAGACAATGCTCTATTCCAAACGTCGCTATAAAGTTCTTACTGCTGGCCGGAATCGCCCAGTTCGCGCTGAAAAGTCTCAGCTTCCACATCTTACAGGGGTCTGTACCATCTTTGCAGATGGTACAACTATGAAGCCAATGGTGATACTTCCACAAAAGAAGACCCTTGATGCGGAATTGGAAGATCTGGACGCCTTTTTTGTTCGCTCCGAGAGTGGATGGATGAACAAATACCTTTTTATGGTATACTGTATCATGTTCATCTGCAAAGTACAGGAGAAAAGGTCTCAAATGAATGTGTTTGATGCCCAGGTACCTTTTCTCCTAATTGTAGATGGTCATCCATCCAGGCTCTCTTTCTTGGCCGTTCGCCTCTTGAGCGCCTTCAATATCGAGCTTCTTGTTCTCCCAGGCCATACATCTCATATCTTACAACCTCTTGATGTTGGGATTTTTTCTCCCTTGAAGGCCCAATTCAAGAAGTTGTTTGATATGGCGACTATCCGGTACGATCAGCAAGGGCATATGGTGATCAATTATGTATGGAACGCCAGAGAACTGCGCTATATCATGGTTCGCAGCTTCCTTGATGCATGTAGCGTGTCTTGCACAGCTACAAACATCGAAAATGCTTTTAAAGCAACAGGAATCTATCCATTGGATATGAACAAACCTCTTGCTTCCAGATACATTGTAGCAAATGGAGTTCCTCCTGCAAGGCCCAATTTTGTCAACGACAAAGTCCTTACAGATCCAAATGTGATGATGCAAGTCTTCCAAATGGAATATGGACGCCCCATGCAGCAACAGGATTGGTATTTCAATCTGTTTGTGGCTATGCAATCTGTTTTGGCCTGGAATGGAGCATATGGCCAGGTTCTTAGTCGTGAGTTACATCTCCTTTATCCTACTGCAGGTGGATTTCAAAAAATCCAATTAAAATGATATAAAGCTGAGGAGCTCCAGGGTGAAGAGGAATTGATGAAGAAAAGAAGCAGCTGCATAATGGAGTGAGGAAGCATCTTGATGAAGAGAGGAAGCACCTTGATCAAGAGAGGAAGTACTTTGAAGAAGAGAGGAAGCACTTTGTTGAAGAGAGGAAGCTGCATGATGTAGTGAGGAAGCTGCATGATGAAGAGAGGAAGCACCTTGATCAAGAGAGGAAGTACTTTGAAGAAGAGAGGAAGCATCTTGATCAAGAGAGGAAGTACTTTGAAGAAGAGAGGAAGCCCTTTGATGAAGAGAGGAAGTACTTTGAAGAAGAGAGGAATCACTTTGTTGAAGAGAGGAAGCACCTTGATCAAGAGAGGAATCACTTTGTTGAAGAGAGGAAGCACCTTGATCAAGAGAGGAAGCACTTTGATCAAGAGAGGAATCACTTTGTTGAAGAGAGGAAGCACCTTGATCAAGAGAGGAAGCACTTTGATGAAGAGAGGAAGCACTTTGTTGAAGAGAGGAAGCACCTTGATGAAGAGAGGAAGCATCTTGATCAAGAGAGGAAGCACTTTGTTGAAGAGAGGAAGCATCTTGATCAAGAGAGGAATCACTTTGTTGAAGAGAGGAAGCACCTTGATGAAGAGAGGAAGCATCTTGATCAAGAGAGGAATCACTTTGTTGAAGAGAGGAAGCACCTTGATCAAGAGAGGAAGCACTTTGATGAAGAGAGGAAGCACTTTGTTGAAGAGAGGAAGCACCTTGATGAAGAGAGGAAGCATCTTGATCAAGAGAGGAAGCACTTTGTTGAAGAGAGGAAGCACTTTGATGAAGAGAGGAAGCACCTTGATGAAGAGAGGAAGCATCTTGATCAAGAGAGGAAGCATCTTGATCAAGAGAGGAATCACTTTGTTGAAGAGAGGAAGCACCTTGATCAAGAGAGGAAGCACTTTGATGAAGAGAGGAAGCACTTTGTTGAAGAGAGGAAGCACCTTGATGAAGAGAGGAAGCATCTTGATCAAGAGAGGAAGCACTTTGTTGAAGAGAGGAAGCACTTTGATGAAGAGAGGAAGCACCTTGATCAAGAGAGGAAGCATCTTGATCAAGAGAGGAAGCTGCATGATGGAGTGAGGAAGCATCTTGATCAAGAGAGGAAGTACTTTGAAGAAGAGAGGAATCACTTTGTTGAAGAGAGGAAGCATCTTGATCAAGAGAGGAAGCATCTTGATCAAGAGAGGAAGCATCTTGATCAAGAGAGGAAGCACTTTGTTGAAGAGAGGAAGCACCTTGATGAAGAGAGGAAGCACTTTGTTGAAGAGAGGAAGCATCTTGATCAAGAGAGGAATCACTTTGTTGAAGAGAGGAAGCACCTTGATGAAGAGAGGAAGCATCTTGATCAAGAGAGGAAGCACCTTGATGAAGAGAGGAAGCATCTTGATCAAGAGAGGAAGCACTTTGATGAAGAGAGGAAGCACTTTGTTGAAGAGAGGAAGCACCTTGATGAAGAGAGGAAGCACCTTGATCAAGAGAGGAAGCATCTTGATCAAGAGAGGAAGCTGCATGATGGAGTGAGGAAGCACTTTGTTGAAGAGAGGAAGCATCTTGATCAAGAGAGGAATCACTTTGTTGAAGAGAGGAAGCATCTTGATCAAGAGAGGAAGCATCTTGATCAAGAGAGGAAGCATCTTGATCAAGAGAGGAAGCACTTTGTTGAAGAGAGGAAGCACCTTGATGAAGAGAGGAAGCACTTTGTTGAAGAGAGGAAGCATCTTGATCAAGAGAGGAATCACTTTGTTGAAGAGAGGAAGCACCTTGATGAAGAGAGGAAGCATCTTGATCAAGAGAGGAAGCACCTTGATCAAGAGAGGAAGCATCTTGATCAAGAGAGGAAGCACTTTGATGAAGAGAGGAAGCACTTTGTTGAAGAGAGGAAGCACCTTGATGAAGAGAGGAAGCATCTTGATCAAGAGAGGAAGCACTTTGTTGAAGAGAGGAAGCACTTTGATGAAGAGAGGAAGCACCTTGATGAAGAGAGGAAGCATCTTGATCAAGAGAGGAAGCATCTTGATCAAGAGAGGAATCACTTTGTTGAAGAGAGGAAGCACCTTGATCAAGAGAGGAAGCACTTTGATGAAGAGAGGAAGCACTTTGTTGAAGAGAGGAAGCACCTTGATGAAGAGAGGAAGCATCTTGATCAAGAGAGGAAGCACTTTGTTGAAGAGAGGAAGCACTTTGTGAATGAGAAGAGAGGAAGCACCTTGATCAAGAGAGGAAGCATCTTTGATCAAGAGAGGAAGCTTGCATGATGGAGTGAGGAAGCATCTTGATCAAGAGGGAAGTACTTTGAAGAAGAGAGGAATCACTTTGTTGAAGAGAGGAAGCATCTTGATCAAGAGAGGAAGCATCTTGATCAAGAGAGGAAGCACCTTGATGAAGAGAGGAAGCTGCATGATGGATGCATGATGGAGTGAGGAAGCATCTTGATGAAGAGAGGAAGCGTAAGAACCGATAACATTTACAAAATATTAAATTTATTTTGTAAATTTTCCAAAAGCCTTAGTACCAATGTAATATAAATGCTCCAAAAATACCATCCCTCCTTCCAAAAAAGCGTAAGAACCGATAACATTTACAAAATATTAAATTTATTTTGTAAATTTTCCAAAAGCCTTAGTACCAATATAATATAAATGCACTAAAAACCCAACTGCCAATAGCATGTATTCAAAAAATGCAATTCAATACAAATTTGATTGCATTTTTTGAGATGGAAGTGTATCTGAATTCACAATTGTAATCCACGAATACACTTCCATCTCATTGATAAGAGGCTAATGTTTTTCTCATTAATAAGGCGCTGTTGGCCTCTATCCATAGCCGAAGTGATATTAACGTATGTTAACGTACAAAGTAAAAACATGTTTTTTCTTTTTAAAATCATTTAGTAATTAATAATATTTAGCACTCATAGTAAAAACATTAAAATTTATAAGAATCGTTATGAAGAAAAATTGAGAACTTATGATTTTTATTTAAGAAAATGATTAAATAATATATAAATAACCATATAAACAACATTTTAGATTCCTCTGAAAAGGGTATCTCAAATTGGTCTATGACCAATTGAATGGTTCGCCGGTTATTCAAGGTACGGTAAATGTAAGTTTTCGAAAATTAAATGCCAATTCAATTTTTGAAAGAAAACCGATCAACTATTGATAACAATGTTACCGTACCTTGAATAACCGGCGAACCATTCAATTGGTCATAGACCAATTTGAGATACCCTTTTCAGAGGAATCTAAAATGTTGTTTATATGGTTATTTATATATTATTTAATCATTTTCTTAAATAAAAATCATAAGTTCTCAATTTTTCTTCATAACGATTCTTATAAATTTTAATGTTTTTACTATGAGTGCTAAATATTATTAATTACTAAATGATTTTAAAAAGAAAAAAACATGTTTTTACTTTGTACGTTAACATACGTTAATATCACTTCGGCTATGGATAGAGGCCAACAGCGCCTTATTAATGAGAAAAATTAGCCTCTTATCAATGAGATGGAAGTGTATTCGTGGATTACAATTGTGAATTCAGATACACTTCCATCTCAAAAAATGCAATCAAATTTGTATTGAATTGCATTTTTTGAATACATGCTATTGGCAGTTGGGTTTTTAGTGCATTTATATTATATTGGTACTAAGGCTTTTGGAAAATTTACAAAATAAATTTAATATTTTGTAAATGTTATCGGTTCTTACGCTTTTGGAAGGAGGGATGGTATTTTTGGAGCATTTATATTACATTGGTACTAAGGCTTTTGGAAAATTTACAAAATAAATTTAATATTTTGTAAATGTTATCGGTTCTTACGCTTCCTCTCTTCATCAAGATGCTTCCTCACTCCATCATGCATCCATCATGCAGCTTCCTCTCTTCATCAAGGTGCTTCCTCTCTTGATCAAGATGCTTCCTCTCTTGATCAAGATGCTTCCTCTCTTGATCAAGATGCTTCCTCTCTTCAACAAAGTGATTCCTCTCTTCTTCAAAGTACTTCCTCTCTTGATCAAGATGCTTCCTCAGTTAGTATACATAAGTCGTGTACGGAGGCACTGCGTTCCTCCATACGCAATACTTGTGAATTTGACACTTTACAAAACCGTTAACGTATATTTTACAACACAAACACAAACACCAACTTAACCTTAAATATTTATAAAGCCGCCAACCACTTCACCTCACTACTGTAAAAAATAAACGTTCTCACTTACAAAAGTATTGCAACTCTTCCCATTGCTGTGCTTCACACAATAGTTCATATTCTTCAGTATCGCTGCTGTCGCTCCAATCGTCAGAGTCAAAGTCACTGTCAAAATAAATGTTAGTAAGTTTTGACAAAGCTAATGAAACACGCTTACCGTTTGTATCGTATGCTTGTATAAACTTTCCATTCTTCATTCCTTCATAAACGCTCAAACTAACTTTACCCTTTCTCCCTCGTATCTGATAGAATGTATTTTCACGAGGAACGAAGAACAAATTCTTAAACTCATGACCGTTGTAGTTTGTTATCTCAATAGTTTTCGTCATTTACATCCAAAATAAAAATAAAAAATGAATTTAAAAATTAATGATATCACCACCCTCACACGTATGAAAACATAGCGCAAAAATAAATTTAGGTGAAGTGGTGAGATGTCACCTGTTTTTTCACCTCTTTTCTCACCTCTTGAATTTTCATGAAAACAATTTATTTTTAAAACAATATATTTTTACATATATTAAATGCTTCAGGTTGAAAGAATATGGTGGAGCCAAAAGTGGCTCGACCTCAAAACAAACATTTTATGAGCTTACAAAGGGTGTTATGAATGAATTCAGCAACATACATCCTGACCTCATTCATTTTGTTGCTAAATTCAGTAAAAATAAATTTAGGTGAAGAGGTGAGATGTCACCTGTTTTTTCACCTGTTTTCTCACCTCTTGAATTTTCCCGATAGAAAAAATAAAGTTAGTTTTATTTTTATTTATTTTTTATTTTGTATAAAAGATATGATTTCAACAATCGGCACAACAACAATACAAGCCGCGAACGGCGGGACTCTGTCCACAACTACAGCACCAAACTCGTTAGTCATGAATCCTACGTCAATGTTGGTAGAAATGAAAAACTTCATTCCTTCTTCATATACTTTCGAAACAAAAATCCAGAAGATAAAGCAAGAACTTTTAACAAATAATTTAGACTGTAGTGCGAAAGATGAAACAAATGAACAGTATCTTTATGAAATGCAGGACATTATTGACCATTTACCCAAATTGCCTGAAATCCAACAACAAAAACTCACTATTCCTGAATTCGACGAAATTGAAGTGAAACCAACTGACTCAGTAGAAATAAAGAAGTTCATACGTAAAGTAAATTATGAATTCCTTGGTTTTCATTGCAACCATAAAGTTATGGACAAAGATTGCGACATGGTATATAAAAACATTTCTGACATATATAAATCTGAAGAATTTAAGACCTACGATAACTTTGTTTCATTAGTTGCAAAATGTGTTTGGGAAATAAGAGATAAAGATAGAAGAGGTAAGGTATGGAATGAACAGATAAGACCCGCTATGTTTGAGATGAAGAAAACCATTGACGCCTTAGTTGTTTTAGCAGGTAAGGTTTCAGAATATAACGCAAAGTTGAACCCACAATGTTCTAAATGTAAAGCAGCAATAAGGAAATATAACTACTCCGTCAAAGAGATAGAAAGAATGAGAAACGACTATGCAGACTTAAAGAAAGAAGCAGAAAAGCCAGCAGAAGATAAAATGAACATGTTAGAATTTCTGAACAAAAACTATCCAACAGCAGAAGATTTCCTTCTATCTGACGTCAAGAAGAAGTATAAAGAAACCTTCGGTATTGTTAAAACTTTTGACATACTGACAGAAGAAATAGAAGCTACGAAATTGTTTAGGATTTCAAATATACATCGTACAATTCATGTAAAACGTTTATAAAATAACAGGTGAAAAAACAGGTGAAAAAACAGGTGACATCTCACCTCTTCACCTAAACATTATTTTTGGTCAAAGCTTCCACGAGAGAAAAGATTCCTCATTCGCTAAGGATTCCAAAAATGAAAAAATCATTGATTTCGGCTGAGAAAAAACGGCAAAAACCCTTCTTCCACGGGAACAAAGAAATAAAGAAGAAATAAAGAAGAAATAAAGTAAATTTTTTATTTATTCCCGTGGAAGATAGAGCATTTTTATGACACTTTTTATTCACGACAAACAAGACAAATAAAGAAAATAAGAAAATACGGCGCTGTCGCGGTTCGAACCACAGACCCTGACCCCTCCATAACACCACCTTAGACCACTGTGCTACGTAGCCTGTCGACATAAGATTTTATAAATTGCATATTTGACGTAAATTTATTTCCATCTGGCTTCCCACTGCATAAGATATTCATACGTGTTTGTAAGACATTCATTAAACTTCTTTTCTATTGCATCTAATCTTGCGTTATTTTTTTCAATAACTTGTCTGTATTCTTCATCATCTCCAGCAGTGTTTGGGTCTTCACGTTTAAAATATTCATTGTTAACCATTTTTTATCTATAAATTTTATTAGTGTTTGATTCACTTCGTTATGATAACGGTCATATTCTTTCAATACGTAAGTGAAGACAAAATGCGTCGTACCTTCAATCTTAAAGCTTAAAGAACTTTCAACACAGTTTTGAGGGTCTGTCAGTGCGTCAATGAGATAGTATTCGAAGTCAGTCAATAATCTTTTTAAAGTCATTTCATACAGGATAAAATTTAATGTTGTGAAGAAATAGTGTTTAACACAGAAAAATAAAGTTAGTTTTTATTTTATTTATTTTTTTATCCTGTATGTAAAGACAGATATGTCAACATTAGAGAACACAACAACTGCTATCGTTCATGAAGCCATAAATGAAGAATACGAATACATACAGTATAACAAACAGTTACGTCTCATTCGTTCAGTCAAAGATGATATGTATCAAATGCAAAGTATAATGAACGCTCTTCGTTCTACAAAGCAAGCATATCATTGGTTTGAAAACCAACAGGCAAAAGAACTTTTAGAAGAATTTCCTCATATGATTGCTTCCCTCGGAAAACCGAGGGAAGAGATTCCGTACGAAAATCGCAAGAATTTGGCACCTGGTTTGAAAGGTTATTATGTTCATAGACTTTTAGTAAATGCAGTTGCAATGTGGGCTTCACCTCGTTATGCTTGTTATATTTTCATGATGTTAGATGAACTATATAAAGCAGAACGTGGAGAGATGGAAAAGAAACTTCAAGCAAAAGATGAAGTCATTGAATCCAAAGACAAAAGCATACAGAAAAGAATACCGCGTTCAGTACCAAAAGGAAAGGAAAAGAGTTATAAGTATATGATATATACTGAAGAGTTGGAGAAAGAAGAAGATAAAGATATGGTTATGTTGCATTTAGTCAGAAGAAACAACAAGAGCTTTTATGACCTTGCTAAGATTTACAAATCTGACAGAAACTGGTTCTATCGTGAAAACTTACCGATTTCAATGACACCGAATGAGCAAATAAAGGAAATTGTCAAAAATACTCTTCCTCAAACACACTATGACATCAAAGGTTGCACAATACTTACATTCAAAGAAGACTTAACATTACTGAAGGAAAAAATAACAGAGTATTTCGACAACTTCAAAGAGGAAGAATGAAGTCACGACAACATTAACGAAGAAGTCACGACAACATTAACGAAGAGAGAATGAGGTGAAAAAACAGGTGACATCTCACCTCTTCACCAAAAATATATTTTTGCTTAAATAGCTTCAGGGTCAATTTCTTCAACCATTTCACTTCCTTCGTCAATGTCAATAGAAGCTTCTTCAACCTTTGGTAAGAACTTTTGTATAACATCTTTGTTCGTTATTGTTTTCAGAGATGAAGAATAATATTTCACATTTATTTCACCCTTCTTATATTCTTTCTGTTCGGAAAGATTTAAAGCAATACTGAAGAAGTCAATGTTGGAGTTCTTTATAATAGTATAATGAGTATCTTTGACATTCACGAAGAAACCCTTTTGTTTCAAAAACTACTGCTAACTCTTGTGAAGTATAACGTTTGCGGTCAATGACAATAGCTAATGGTCTGACATACTGACCGAACTTAGATTCTTTCACAAACTTCTTGTTAAAGATAACATTAACGTTTGCAGAACCATTGAACTCATTCTTGATGGCAGTAGCGAGAGCATTGTATGAAAAGAACTTGCAATCTTGCATGTGTTTCATTAAAATAAAAATATTAAATTATTTTGAAAAATAACTTAAAAAAAATCTAATCTAATTTTTTCAAAAATATTTTTTTTATTTCCTACTAAAGATGTATCGGAAGTTGTCTAAGTTAGAACACTCGAAATAAAACAACTTCTTAGCAGAAGCTAATATAGATGTTGCAAAAGCATTAGCACAACAAACAAAAAGGCACTCGCTGACTTCAATTAAAGACTATAATGGTGTAATAAGTTATGATAGAATTCATGAGTTCATAAAGCCGCAACGCGCGAGGACGAAGTCCATGCAAGAGCATTTCCTTTAAATGACGTTGCTATTGACTTATATCATAGACGTTCAATACCTCATGAAGTAAGAAGAGAAATGTTTGACATAACAAATGCAAACGTTGGTGAAACAAGAAGAGCTGTACCACATGAAGTAAGAAGAGAAATGTTTGACATAACAAATGCAAACGTTGGTGAAACAAGAAGAAGAGACGACACACTGAAACAACAGAGAAGAGAGATGTTTAAGAGCGCTATAGAACAAGTTCGCAAAGCTAACGATGTCATTCGTTCCATTGACGACAAACCAAAAGAAGGTGAGAGATGGTTAAAGAAAGATGAAGAAAATAGGAAGAGGAATGTGAAGTCAGGCAATAGACTCATTGACTTTAACATCGAAGCTTTAGATGAACCAAACAGAGACTACTTACACAAACATTTTGGTAAGGTTTTCATGAGACTCTTAGAGAAAATTAAAATAAACTCCCAACAGAGATGGATGGTATGTTATAAACTTGGTGGAAAGTATGAATGTTCTACGTTAAACCTCAATAATATTGGAACATTACTACATCAGCTCTTGAAGGAGAACTTTATATCAGAGATAGAAGCAAATGCCGCAGGTATTGTTGAAATGCACTATGACTTCTTCTTGACAAACATAAAGAATCTTACCGAAATAAAGATGTATGATTTAACAGAATATGAAGGCTTAACGATGTCAGATGTAAAGAAAGGCAAACCAAAAAAGAGACCATATAGAGATGAAAGCACACTGACAAATGACCAGAAAGCCATTTTTGGAAGCTCTTAAGCAAACAGGAAACCCAGCACTTATAGAAGCTTTTGGAAAGATAATGATGAAAAGAAGTTTTATAAGAAGAGAAGCGGGCAGTTCTGGAAGTATCTTTGTACATTACCTATAAATCTTGAACGCTACCAAATCTTCAATGAACTGAACAAAAGAACTGCAACACTTATGACAGAAGATAATGCTTCGTTTATGCTTGCATTCAGGCTGGAGTAAATGAAGAAACTATTGACCACATGAGAGAAGTCATTCGTGTTAGAGACTTTCCTCAAAGTAAAGTACAAGAAATTTCTGACGCAACAGGTATATCATTTAATGTTACCATTGGTTATTTCAATGACTCAAGACATAATGAAATAAAGAGATACATACCAAAAAAGTGAAACTGTTAGAACTATTGACTTACTTCTTGTTGAAGACCACTACATGCTAAATGAAAGATTACCAATGACAACATATTTCATTCGAAACTATATAGAAATCTTGAAGGAGTGTGGTGGAATGAACATTGAAAAACAGATGAAAATATATACAAAGAGAGAAGATAAATATGTAGTTCGCATGGATAGAACAACACCGTTATGGGATGTTATGAAAACATTGTGGGAGTGCAAATATTTTGAACCTATTTCTTATGGAGAACTTTTCACATATACGACTGACTTATATAAACAGAACCTTGCACCATTTAAAGATTTGACATATGCTCCAAAGTATTGTGTACAACTGAAGAAGAAAGCAGAGTCAAAAGAAGTAAATAAAGCTAAATGTAAGTTCATACCTGAGCACGTTTTCTTTGCTGACTTTGAGTGTAGTACGGATGGCTTTCATAAAGCTTTTAACATCTGTTATGACAGTGAAGATGGTTCAGTTAGTGAAAGTATTTGGGGTCAAAACTGTGCAACAGAATTTTTGGAAAGACTTCCTGACAAGAGTTTAATATATTTCCATAACCTCAGTTATGACATAAACTTCATCTTAAGACACATGACAGAAGTGAAAGGAACTCCCATCATTAAAGGTTCACGAACAATGCAAATAACTGGTTTATATAAAGGAAGGGCAATTATTATAAAAGACTCTTACAGTGTTATAAATAAGAAGCTTAAACTATTTCCTGCTATGTTTAACTTACAAACAGGACCGAAAGAAAGTATTTCCATATAACTACTACAGCAGTGTTTTGTTAGCAAATGACAACAGAACTGGTGTCATTTCTGAAGCATGTAAGTTTATCCATGATGCAGATACATTTATGAAGAACATAGATTCCATCAAAGGTTGCAGAATAGATGAGAAACCACTTCGACTTAGAAAAATATAGCACGTTTTACTGCAAACAAGATGTAAGAATTTTAAGAGAAGGTTTTGTAAAGTTCCGCAATGACTTATTGAAAGAGTTTGATTTAAACGTTTATGACTACGTTAGTATTTGTTCTATTGCTAACAAATTGTTTGAGAACAGAGTATACTTCCCGAATGGAAATCTTTATGACCTCTCAAATAAACCAAGAGAATTTATTTCGAGATGCATTCAAGGTGGAAGATGTATGTTGTCAGATAACATGAAACAAAAGAGCAAAAAGAAACTCATTGCTGACTTCGACACTGTTTCATTATATCCTTCAGCTATAGCAAGACTTTATACTTTAGAAGGTATTCCAAAAGTATTGAAGGAAGAAATGTTAAGCACAGAGTATCTCTGAGACATTTATTCGATGATGACCAAAAGGAACCCATTGGTGAAAAGTTTATGTCTGGCTTCTTTGTTCTCATTAAGATAACAGAGATTGGTATACCCAGACACTTTCATTTAATAGTTTGCGACCCTGAACTAAATCCAGAACTTAACGTTCCAAGAAGTTCAAACACTTGCTGTCTCATGTATGTTGACCATATAACATTACAAGACCTCATAAAATATCAAGGTGTCAAATGTGAAGTGTTGCAAGGATACTATTACGATGGAAACAGAGATATGAGAATAAGAGATGAAGTAAAGAAGTTGTTTGAGTTAAGGTTAAAGTATAAGAAAGAAGGAAACCCCTTACAAGAAATTATAAAACTCATTCTGAACAGCATTTATGGCAAAACTATTCTACTCCTATTGAGTCAAAAATAACCATAGTAAATGACAAAGATGCTATAAGATATGCTATAAGAAATTACAACCATATAGTGAAGTTCGAAGGTTTGGATGGTTCAGATAAAACTATTTTCAAGCTAACGAAAAGCATTTGCAGACACTTTAACTTCTGTCCACTTGGTGTTAATATTCTGTCTATGTCAAAACGTATTATGAATGAAGTATTCTGTACTGCAGAGGACATGGGACTTCAAATCTTTTACCAGGATACCGACAGTATGCACTTATATAATGAAGACATCCCAAAGCTTGCAGCAGAGTTTAAGAAGAGATATGGTCGCGAACTTATAGGAAAGAACCTTGGTCAATTTCATAGCGACTTTGCAGAAATAACACCTGGAAAACAAAGTTTAGCTTATAAAAGTATTTTCTGTGGAAAGAAGACCTACATAGACTTACTCACTAACGATTTAAATGAAGTTGCATTTCACTGCAGAATGAAAGGCGTGAAGCAAGATGTTATTGCTTTAACCGCTAATGAAATGTTTCCTGAAGCTATACAATGCTATTACAATGAAGATAAGAACATTCACATACCTGTTGGAACATATGACAAAGACTCTGAGTTCAGTTTAATGAAACTTTACAAAGCACTTTATGATGGTCAAGAGATTGCATTCGACTTATGTAAGTCATGTCAACCTTGCTTTGCTGAAAAGTTCAACTTTTCAATAACGACTAAAACAAGCTTTATTCGTAAGTTGAAGTTCTGAGGTCATGGGCTTCGCCCTTGCCGCTAGCGGCTTATTTTTATCAGCAATGAGGTCATGAATGAGGTCATGAATGAGGTCATTCGTGATAAAAATAAAGCTAGCGTAGATTTTACAATACTGCGATGGTAGAGTTTAAGAGTTGTGCTTCAATGTAGAGACAGTCCTTCCCATCTGGAGGCAAGAACACTGGACATTTATGGTCATGAGTGGAGAACATGTCTATCCAAAACTCACGATTGAAGCCAGTTAATTTATAGTATTTAGGGTTAGGAAGTGGTGAAGTTCTTGTATGACCAATGAACTCATTTTCAACGCCTTTGGCTATATTAGAGTAAAGTATTGCTTGCTTTCTATCCCAAATGCCAGGTGTTACAATCTTTGAAAATTCATTTTTCCTCGGAAGCATTGCATCATAATTGAAAACATTCTTAAAATCATCACTTGGTTCGGAGATTTGAAACCTTATACGTAATGGATTTTCTTTCTTTTTAGCGACTTCATTGAATGGTGAATATATAACAAACTGACAGTCATGAGTTCCATCTTCATTTTCATTAAATTCATAATGAAAGTCTATAAGTTGTGGCTGACTACCTTCTTCTTTCAGTTGTGCAAGAAACTTACGTAAAGGCTGTAAAGTTTGTACTTCAATGTTGAACTTTTTCTCGAACATCTCATTAAATGAAATCATACATTGCAACAATGTTGTATCGTCTTTAAAGTATTTGTATATGTGAATGTTTTGGGCGCTTAAAGACTGTTCGTCATTTTCTATCTCGACTTGAAGTATAAAGTCAACCTTTCTGAAAGCACGTGTTATATACATAGATGTTATGCCAATGTACTTCTCTTCATTTATGTTCACAATCCAGTCTGTTGGAAACTTAAACGTTACTCTGTTCCCCTTTATTTTGACGTCAGGGTTTTCACTACTGAACGCAACAGTTAAAGGTATTTGTCTATATATTTAATTCGGATAAAAATAAACCATTTACTCTTTCTTTGCTTCAGCTTCCTTTGCTTTTTGTTCTTCCTTTGCTTTTTTCGCCAGCAAACGTGGG